TCTTTCTCGATCAATTGGTGCAAAAACTATTGAAATTGGACAGCTCAACACCAAGAAATTTGAGCTTAAAGTTAGATTGCCAATGGGAAAGAGGCAGGAAGTATAAAAGGCCCGTCGTCCCGCCCCCTTTGCCATTGGCAATCTAACTTTAAGCTCAAATATCTTGATGTTGGGCTGTTCAATTTAGATAATTTTTATACCAATCGACAGAGGAAGACTTGGTAAATTTAATCATGCCAAGAGTATCTAAATTGAACAGCCCAACACCAAGAAATTTGAGCTTCAGTTAGATTGTCAATGGGAAAAGAGGCAGGTGTTTCAAAGATCCGATAACCGAAACAAATGGTCCTAGTCATTCGGATTTTTAAATGATCGAAAACTTAGCCGGTTTTTGATAAACTTTTAAAAAGATATCTTATTTTTAAAAAGAACCAATTGCCAAGAATAGATTCATCCTTATTTCTCAAACATTTATATATTTATTGCATAGTTCCCCATTGCTCACTTCAAATGTTTTCACGTTTTCAATTGGGTAAACCGGATACCGAAATCGTGTTCACTTCCAATTCTTTAGTGTTTTCTCTTTCTACTTTTCTTCCAATTCACCTAGGATTCGAATTCCTCAAATCCTAAGTGATTCAGAAGCCAAAAAAGATGAGTCAACAAAAGGAAATACCGTAAATACTGTAATAGTACCCCACCCCCCACGTAGAGTCGCGTAGTCGCAAAAGTTTTTTAGTATTTCATTTTTTCCAAAGCCCCCTTACTTTCAAAAAATGCGTTTTTGGTATCAAAAAATAGCTGAAATTCAGGGCTATTTTTTGATACCTAAGCGCGCATTGTAGCATAAATCAGTGTCGAGAAAAACTCGTTCAAAGCTAGAGCTACGCAACACTCCGCACCGTCATTATGAGGGTGGGGTGCTATTACAGTATTTACGGTATGCTAATTTCTTTGAAATTTTTACCTTTCTAACGCTTTGAAGTTGAAAATTTTCGAGTATAAAGAGCTTTTTTTGGCTTTCCCCAACCAAACGATTAAAGTCCTGTCGACTTTTTCGAAATTTGATCACTTCATCTTATCATTTCTAACCTCACCTTATCATTTCTGATCACTTAATCTTATCATTTCTAATCTCCTAAAATTAAATGAGCTAAAAGTTTCCCTTTTCATAGAAAAATTTCATTTATTTGATTCATTTGATTTATTCGCTGTTTATCTCGGTTTTATCAATTTAGCGTAAACCCAGTCTCACTTCAAACAGAAAATCTCACATCTCAAAAATTTTTTTTCACCACTTTTCTTACCAAAAAAAGTGGCTCATGAAAAATATTGCAGGATTGGTGGAAAAAGAAGGAAAAAAAGGGTGTTTTAAATGATCTGTGTCTCAAAATTCTCTCAAATATTTTTCGTGGATCGAAGGTTCGAGAAGAAGAAAAAGAAAAGTGAAAAGAAGAGAAGCACGTGCTTGGAGAAAAAAAAAAGAGAAAATCTTGTTTAAAAACGAAAAAACATTTCGTTTACCTGCTCGGAAAGTTTTCCACCGATTTGGAAATCTTTTTAACTCTTGTACTAGCTCTCCTACTAACTCTCGAAACTAACTTTCGTAGTTGCATCAAATTTTCCGAGGCCAAACGATCAAGAATTAGGGAAAAAGTCAACTTTGTGAAGGTGAAAAAGGAAAACGCAAAGTTAGAGATCGATCTTAGCTTTTTGCATGAATATTTCAAGATGTAATTTTTTCCTAATTAATTTCTACTATCAAAAACACATTTACTAGTAGATCTAGAAAATCTAGAAATTTGATCTAAGCAAGTGGCCATATAAAGGGATAAAATGGGATTTGTTTCTTAAAGAATTCTTTTTTTTAATGCTTTATTTAGAAAGAAATAAAGTGCGAAAACGACTTTTAGCATTATCTGCTAAAATGTAGCAGATAAAAGATGACAAAGTCACTTAAAATGCAACGAAGTAGCCCTTTTAAAATCAGACACGGTGCAGATCAAACGCAACTTGTCGGGAAGGGCATTCCAAACTTTAATCACACGATTTACAAAAAAAGGATCTAGAGGATTTAGAGAAAACAGATTCAGAGACAGAGACAGATTCAGAGACAGATTCAGAGACAGATTCAGAGACAGATTCAGAGACAGATTCAGAGACAGATTCAGAGACAGATTCAGAGACAGCAGAGGAGCCACGCCTAGTCGCCAAAAGCCTCGAGTTTAGTTGAGGTCAATGGCGGGGACAATATGCAGATGATGCAAATTAGAATACGAGGAAAAGATAGAAGTACCAAATTCTCTATTTCTCACCTCACAATCGTTTTTTTTTCTTAAAATCTTACAGATTCTTTATGTTTTTTTCAATAAATAACATCAAATCAAGAAGAAAAAAAACAAAAATTTCTTTTCAAAAATGATTTCATCGGATTTTTTCTCTCAATTTTGAGTTCTCTAATCACATTTTGTTAGGAAAGCCGCAGTTTAATCAAATTCGATGACAGAAAATCGAATTTCTATGAGTTCTTTAATCTTTTTTTGTCTTAAACGTGATCATATTCATTAAATAACTTCAAAAACGGTTCTCAAAAACCTTAAATTGGGTTTTTCGTCGGGTGTACCGCGATTCTCAACTTTATAAGGTCATATAAAGATTCTAGAAGTGCCAATAAGTTAGAAAATGGATTTGGAGATATTCCTAAAAATCATCTCCAAAGATTTCATTCAAATTCATTGAGGTTTTGCTGAGATAGACCTGCAGAAGTGAGTCGCTAAGATTCGACAGAGTGACTGCTAGTCGTCGAATGTAGAAACTCTGTAGAATACGAGGGAATGACATGGAAGTATCCAAAATAAATCAAAAGAGTAACTAACAAGTTGTGCAAAGTCATCTCCAAAGATTTCATACAAATTTATTGAGGTTTCGCTGAGACTGTCTATCTCAGCAAAACCTCAATGAATTTGTATGAAATCTTTGGAGATGATTTTAGGAATATCTCATGTAGCCAAATCCTGCAGAACCTGCAGAAGTGAGTCGCTAAGATTCGACAGAGTGACTGCTAGTCGTCAGTCTGTAGAATACGAGGGAATGACAAGGAAGTATCCAAAATAAATCAAAATAACTCAAAATAAATCAAAAGAGTAACTAACAAGTTGTGCAAAGTGAAGACAGTGCAGATCTCTTCCACCACTCCAATGTGTTTTCATCAAAATTTGTGGTTGTATTGATGGGCGGAGAAAAAGAGGAGAATTCGCTTGTGTGATCATTGCTTAATTGTACCAGTTTTTCTTTTTCTTTTCTTTTCTTTTCCTTATTTTTTTTGGTTTCTTTTGCTGTCTTCATGATTAGAGAAGGAAAAAGTCTCACACTTTCCCTCTTGTTTTCACCATTTTCTCCTCTCTCCTCTCATCTCTTCCCCAAACAATCACAAAAACTATGAGAACTGAAAATGAGAAACATCGATAATGAAACCAAACAAATCTTTTCCGTTTGCAATTGTGAAAATGTCGAATTGTCGTTTTTGGTTGTTGATTTATTTTGAGAACTTATTTCAAAATCTTGGGAAAGCTGCAAAATGTACGAAGAAAAACTGATTTATTAGGTTGAGTACGAAGTCTTTCACCGAAATTCATCTTCTAATTGAATTGAATCTCAAGCTATCAAATGAAATACGGTTTATTTCATTAGATAACCCAAAAATTTCTCTTGCAAATGGCTTTTGAAAGTTTTTGAAAAGCTTTGTTTTAAAGGTTTTTCATTAGCAAGAAGTCGAGTGCTCAAAAACAGGCCGATTGATGCGATTTGGATGGTTTCTTTTAATGAAACTTATTTGTGGAGGTGCAAGACCTAGTACTCAAGCTAATATATATAATTATAATTATAATATATATAATTACGTTTGTCTGTCCGTCTGCCGGCTGTCGATCTGTCCATGTGTCCGTCTGTCCACCCGTCCGTCTGTCTGTCTGTCTGTCCGTCTGTTCATATGTCCGTCTGTCCACCTGTCCGTCTGTCCGTCTGTCCGTCTGTCCGTCTGTCCGTCTGTTCGTCTGTCCACCCGTCCGTCTGTCCGTCTGTCCATCCTGTTTTATTCGAGGAATGGTTTTTGACTGGAAATTTGTACTTAGTGTTTTTGAATACGCTGATTTCGAATCCCAAGGCCGAAAAATACTAACTTGCACAACGGGTCTGCTATAACTTTCAGAATGGTTAAAAAGATTTTGCTATAACTGTTGTGGTTGCGGCTTTTCACAGGCGGTCGCACAGACTTTTCCCCCGCTCTCCAGCGTGTCCCCACGCCTAGCAAGTGTGACAAATGTCACCAAGTCAATGCAAATGCCTAACCTCAATCCTAAACAAAGCTCAAATCACCGTCGACAAACATTTCCGTAAGCAAAAGTTATTCAGCTATACGGTATAAAAGCAACGGCATAAAACGGTAAAGCAATTCATTCTGTCTGTCTGTCTGTCTGTCTGTCTGTCTGTCCGTATGTCTGTCTGTCTGTCTGTCTGTCCGTCTGTTCTCATTTGCTGTGTCGTCCCAATTGTTAGTCTGTAAAGTACCGTATTTACTCTATTAGTGGGGTCCTCTCTAATAGTGGGGTCGTCTGGAGGGGGGTTGAAAAAATAGTGGGGTCCTCTCTAATATTGGTAACGAAAGTGATACATCAATTGTTGATCTCTTGGATTAGTTCTTTTACTGTTTGTTAATGTTTTGTTACGGTTAAAGCTAAATAAAATATGAAGCCAAACTTGTTTTTTCAAGAATTTCGGAGAAAAATTGATATCTTTTCAATTTAAAACTTTGGTTTTATGTTCTTTTAAATTTCTCTAATAGTGGGGTCCTCTCTAATAGTGGGGTCGTCTGGAAGGGGATTGAAAAAATAGTGGGGGACCCCACTAATAGAGTAAATACGGTAATCTTAAATCATTCTACATTATTTTCTTTTCTCTTGCTTTTATTGTTTATTTGAAAAATCCAAAATGTTTAAAAATCAGCGACTAATCCCAAAAAGCAAAACACCAAAGTTAAGAAAAAGAAAAATTGAAGACATTATCCCATTGATTTGTGCCAATTTCTTCTCGAAAAGTCGCCTCTGATACTCAGCCATTGATTTATGCTCAAGAATCTGCAAAGAATCTGGGTTTTAGAATTTTATTTTGTATGAAAGTATGTTTGAAGTTTTAATACTGATTTTGTTTTGAAACTTGAAAGTTTCAACTTTCAAGCTTTTCAAGTTCAACCTCATTCAACGCATGCAGTGTAAAGCGAACTTCGGAGGCATAAACGTCACGAAGTGATCGAGCACTGTCTAGTAGACTGAAAAGAACTTTTCATCGACTAATTTCTAACAATAAGCATAGGCTTTACTTTGCAGAGAACTGTACTTTATGCATTTATTTATACAAAGTCAATCATTTTTGTTCAGTTATTATTGGGTTGGTGAATTGAAAACTGCGGGCTATTGTCATATGTCATAGTTTGAGTACTTTCTTCAAAAGAAACCCATTTCGGTGTCAATGGAAAAGTTGTAGAGAATCAAAAATCAAGCTTATATCCAAATTTTCAGAACGATTCAAAACCTGGTTTTGAAGAAATGCGGAATTTACGAAACTTTCACAAAACTTGCATTTTAAGCGAAACTACTAAGTGTATCTTTTTGGAAATTTGGCTATAAGCCTAATTTTTGATTCTCTACAACTTTTCTATTGACACCAAAATGGGTTTCTTTTGAAGAAAGTGCTCAAACTGGGACACTGGGACATCTCCAGTCCTCCATTTTTGAGTCTCACACTTGTCTCACACACAAACCAAAATCCTACTATGAAAGAGGAATCCGCAAATCCACAAATTGCCTGTAAAATGAGCAGAAGTCGTCAATAGTAATGGAAATTATTTGGAATGAATTCATGGTTTTATGTTCAATAAATTTTAGTTCAAAGTCCCGCAGTTTTCAATTCACCAACCCAATAGATTATCCGGATTGTTTTCTAAATTTCACAAGATAGTGATGTGATATCAATAATTGCTATATACCATTCGAAAGCTGAAAATATTCTCTACAATTTGGTTTAAAAGGATTGTTGATTCGCTAAATATCTATTGAAATTCGCTGTACTAAAGTCAATGTGTCAAAAAGGGTGACTTTTGAAACTCATTTACAAGATTTTCGTAATTTTTCATTTGATTCAAGCTCTTCTTTACTAAAATTTTATAAAGAAAACGTTATGATTATTGTAGTTATTTATAATTCTCTATATAATAACAAAGATTCAAGAATGAAACAAAATTTAGACAATCGGAAATTCTATCGAAAGTCATTCCTCCGAAGTACCGACTCAACCACTTTGATACAATAAATTTCCATAGATACACAGTGAATCAACAATTGTTTACTACCAAATTGTAGAGGAGATTTTCAGCTTTTGAATGGTACATAGCAATTATTGATATCACATCACTATCTTGTGAAATCTATAAAACTAAAAGTAGGCATGATTTTCTGGAAAATACTAATACTAACTTCCTTCTTCCACTATCGAGACTGATTTGATCGACTGGTGGAGGAAATTTTGGAGGATCCGGATGGGAATTTGATGGAGAACATCTGAAAGAATGGTAGAATATTAAAATGAGTTTTTATTTAACACATTTTCTACAATACGACCCACCGATTGGCCGTACTGATTTTTGGTGTCAACTCAAGTTTTTATGTACTTTTGTTATTTATTTTGCAGAAAGTTTTTTGATAACTTTATACTAGTTTTTAAGAGGAGATTCAGGGCTATCGAATGAATATAAAAGTTTAGTTTAGCTTTGAATTTCCACCAAATTATCAGTAAAACAGTAACACTTGTAACGAAAATAGTCGGTTCTTTTTTGTCGTTGGCAATTTAAGGTTTTTCTCAACGCAAGCCCTTCGATTTTGACTATTTTAACTATCATTTGATGCAGAATAAAATTGCGCGTCGAATGATATTAAAATCAACTCAAAAATAAGATCCATGAAAAGTTGTTGGCTAAAAACCCAAATCCCGCCCATAATGAGCGGGGCTTAACCTTTTGCCTCATAACTTTGCATGGATATTACAATTTGAGTTAATTTTAGTATCATTCGACGCGCAATTTTATTCTGCATCGAATTATAGTCAAAATAGTCAAAATTGAAAAGTTATTGCTGAGAAAAACACGAAAAACCTTAAATTGCTAACGGTAAACAGACAGATGTTTTCGTTAAAAGTTTAGTAACGACTACACCACTGTACGCTCAAAATGCCATCATTGTGAATGTGTTTAAAAGTGATGCGTTTGTGATTTACCTGAATCCGAGTAGAATCGAGGGCAAAACACTTCGAAACACCGAAAATGAGACGAGAAACGAGAAATAACAAAAGAGAATTATTTCTGAAAGGAATTAAGGTTCAAATAATAATAGTAAATTTCGGCTTCCAGCTCACCCAATAGATTCAAAGTCATCGGTGAAACGATGAAAATATATACAATGAGAAGAGTTTCACAGAGAAGAATCGACGGTTGTAAGCTGACTAAATGGAAAAGATTTTTTTTTCAAAATTTTTATTTAATCAATTTTATGAGTTACTTGTAAAGATTGTAGCTGAATTGAGGAAGAAAAAGATCCAAATAAAGACGGAGAATTTGGCTGATATCCTCGAAAAACTTACAGTAAACAGAGCCTAAAATAGAGTTTAGCGTAAGATTATTGTTTAGTTTTCAACCAATTCATATTGTTGCTCTTTTTCGACGAAAACCTGCGTTGAGGCTAATGTTTCAATGGATTTCCAGACTACAGTACCCTAAAATCTCTTTTACAATGACGATTTGATTACAATAGTTTCCTCAAATAGGTGCCTTTTAGAAAGTGGAACACACTCTACAAGGTGACCGCGAATTATAGCGACAACTTTTTGGAAAAGTAGCTGGGAAATGTCTACTTTATTTCAAAAGTGGCAAGTATTATATAGAGAATTGTAGCCCTTCATCTTGGCTACATTTATCTACAAAGAGTTTTCCGATTGGCTTTATACAACTCATTTTACAAGCTCTTAAATGAGCTCAAAGCCTCTCTTCAACGATCTGCCATTTTTCATACTTTTTGACACGCAATATTTTCATCTAGAAAGGGATTCTTTCAATAAAAACTTGTGATATTTTACTTTAAAAGTACTATTCAACAAAAATATAATGCTAGGAGCTTATACAGCAAGATTTTGTTAAATGAATATTCGAGAAAACTTAATTTTCTCTTTTTTGAAGAGTTTCAACCCAGAAAACACCAATTTTAGCTATAAAAGTTTGAAAAAAGAGTTTACTTTTATTCTTATTGCTATTAAATGTTATTAAATATTATTTTCTCATAAAAGAAATATCGAAAAAACTTTTAAACAATTAAGAAAAGAATGAAAAATAGCAGATCGTTGGAGAGAGGCTTTGAGCTCATTTAAGAGCTTGTAAAATGAGTTGTATAACTCCAATCGGGAAACTCTTTTTAGAGAAATGTAGCCAAGATTAAGAGCTTTATTTTCCAATATAACTCTTAGCACTTTGGTAAGTCAGGTGTTTGTCAGTAACTTTTCCAAAAACTTCAACTTCAACGTCAATTTTTTTCGTCGCCTTTCACTTGTAACCATAATTCGCGACCCTGTAGTTAAGATTTAAAAAGAAATCTTAAAAGTTTTGGAAACCCACGATTGTCGCCAAGTCTCCTGGTATAAAAATTGGTAATATTTTGACTTGGGATGCGTTCAAACCGACAGGAGAAACTTCAAAAGTACAACTGACTAAATCTTTCAATCTTTAGCAGAAAAGTTTCAATTTATACCCGAATCCCAAGGAAAACTGTCAAAGTTTGTTTTGCAGGAGATTTGATAGAAATCCTGAAATATTTCAATGAGTAAATTTGACATTTCATTTCAAAATGGGAATTGTTAGCTCCGAGCCAAACTGATATTTTAGTTACTATTGTTATTATTGAATGATTTGTCTATTCTTATGCAAATGTGTCCTCCCCTGTGCTTATCCCTTTTATTGCCGAGAAGGGGCGGTCCTTGGGATTGCCTAGGAGGGCAGTGAGGAGCCTAGAAGGACAGTGAGGAACCTAGAAGGACAGTGAGGAGCCTAGAAGGACAGTGAGGAGCCTAGGAGGACAGTGAGGAGCCTAGAAGGACAGTGAGGAGCCTAGAAGGACAGTGAGGAGCCTAGAAGGACAGTGAGGAGCCTAGGAGGACAAGTGAGACTCTCATTTGGAGTCCCCCCTTCCCCTTACACTTATTTGTAATCTATTCGTCTTATTATACTACTGTAAATAAAGATACATATCTTCCGGGTCTATGCAACTGCAGTACAGGTCGGTCATTTCACAGGGACTCCCCTCTAATACGTCGGAGGAGTTGAGTTGGGTTGTCGGGGTGTTAGAGATGGCGGGATATCAAAAGGGATCCACCCTCTTTAACTTAACCCAAATTCTAGTCCACATCCGTTTATACCTAGGAACGTATAGAATTGAAATTTACCTCTTGATCGTTTTCTTTGATTAACACTTCTTTAGGGTAACTAAATTCGATATTTTCGTTTTTAAGAACTCATTAAAACTCACTTGTTTGCTATTTTGAATACAGGCGATTTGGTGAAATCGTTTTTGTTAGTGATCTGAAATTTAATGAAATATGAAAACTCCACTCAATCACTCACAATTTGAAGATGAGCGTAAAGTTTTGCAACATTTGTTTTCTCATCCTAAACTGGATCGTAGGCATCGTATTAAACCATTATCAATTCATTGTTAAACTTACAATCTCTAAAAGTTTTGGATATTTTAAAAGAATGGCTATCTCGCTGAACGAGGAGTCCAATTTGGAGTCGTCCAATCCGGCGTCGACCAATCCTGAGTCCAACTCGATGATCGGGGTACTTGCTAGAAAAAAAATCGTTTATTTTTGATCTAATATAAACTTTACATAGTAATAGTACTAGTAAATCTATCATAAAAACAAAACCTTTCGAAAAAGCCGCAAAATCCATAAAAGTGAAAGTGACGAGAAATACAATTTGGCCATTTTTTAGCATTTAATGAATAAAAATGAAATTTCCGAAAACTTTTGATTATTTTATAGATGAAAGTTGAGATCTCTTGTGACTTTTGGTAAACAAATCAAGCAAAATTCTCTAAATTCTCCCCCAAATGTCCAATCATTTTAATGACTTTCGCAAAATTTGACCCTAAACTACGAAAAAAGGCAATGGGAAGTATTGCGTTTCAAATATTTTTTTTTGAGTTAAGTCGAAAGAAATAGTCGTAATGACCAATTTGAAAAGCTAAATGTTCAAATTGATATTCGAAAGTGATTTTATTTATTAAAAAATGTCTCCTTTTTTTGGATAAAGTTCACCGTACAGAGAGTTATTTGCGGAAAGTATTGGGTTTGTGAATTGAAAACTGCGGGACTTTGAATTAAGATTTATTGAACATAAAACCATGAATTCATTCGAAATAATTTCCATTATTATTGACGGCTTCTGCCCATTTTACAGGCAATTTGCGGATTCCTCTTTCGTTAAAAGTAAAATAATTAACGACTACGCGACTGTACGCCCAAAATACGTCGTCATCGCGTCGTGTACGCGCCCCGCCCCCTTTGCCATTGGCGATCAAGCTTTAAGCTCAAATTTCTTGGTGTTGTTCTTGTGTTTCTTGGTGATCAGACGCACTCCGTCTGACCTTCACTACGCGACAAAATCCCAAAATGTATTATATTGGGCTGGTGAATTGAAAACTACCGGACTTTGAACTAAAATTTATTGAACATAAAACCATGAATTCATTCGAAATAATTTCCATTATTCTTGACGACTTCTGCCCATTTTACAGGCAATTTGCGGATTCCTCTTTCTTAGTAGGATTTTGGTTTGTGTGTGAGACAAGTGTGAGACCTAAAAATGGAGGACTGGAGATGTCCCAGTGTCCCAGTTTGAGCACTTTCTTCAAAAGAAACCCATTTTGGTGTCAATAGAAAAGTTGTAGAGAATCAAAAATTAGACTTATAGCCAAATTTCCAAAAAGATACACTTAGTAGTTTCGGCTAAAATGCAAGTTTTGTGAAAATTCGTGAATTTCACATTTCTTGAAAACCAGTTTTTGAATCGTTCTGAAAATTTGGATATAAGCTTGATTTTTGATTCTCTCTACAACTTTTCCATTGACACCAAAATGGGTTTCTTTTGAAGAAAGTGCTCAAACTGTCACATATGACATTAGCCCGCAGTTTTCAATTCACCAACCCAATATTAAGCCAAATTTCATTCGCAAAGTTTATCATTAAACCAGACTGAGTTAACAATTTCGCGACGATTGCTTTTTTGTGCGTACAATCGCGTGGTCGTTACTTATCTAACTTATATATAATTTCGAAATGTCAATCTGTCCGAACGAGGAAATGTGAAACGAGCTAACGCCGACATCGAGGTAGATACTTTCTTAAAGGTTTTTTCTTAAACTTTAAGAGCATTTTATGCACATATCAGCGGTACAGGAAAACTTTAAAATTTGCAGAATTTCTTTCGATGATTGAACTAATGAAAAATCGACGTTCTCATTATGGAGTCAAGAGGTCACCATTTGCCGCTATGTTTGAAAAGAATTACGAAAAATAATCGTCATTAGTAAAGCTTATCAGTGGCTTGTTTCGTCGTGAATGTGTTCATAGAACGTTTGTCTTGCATTGCTGTCAATATTTTTGATTTCCAAAAAATGAATGCTTTATCTTTATCTTTATTAAATTGCTCATTCGAATCATACTTGCATAGACTAAATCGAATCAAGAAATACCCGTAATTTTGATGCAAAAAAGGATGGACTAGGATGGATGGACTAGTTTCGAAAAGTGGAATCTACTCTAAACAAATGAGAGTAGAAATAAAAAGACACAAACTAGAAAGCGCTAAAGTTTTGACGACAATTCATCAATTGTATTCAGCAATTCCTTTTTCGAGTTGAAACCATTCTTCGCAAAGCCATTTTTGTGCGTTTTCTCGGGCAGAGCATGTTCCACTTGGGCGTATTGACCAATCCAAGAAGTGTCCTTTCCGATTCTGAAAAAAAAGCATTGTCGATTCGTTTTGATCATTATCATTATCATTCTCCTTCTCATTCTCATTCTCCTTCTCCTTCTCCTTCTCCTTCTCCTTCTCATTCTCATTCTCATTCTCCTTCTCCTTCTCCTCCCTCCATTCTCATTCTCATTCTCCTTCTCCTTCTCCTTCTCCTTCTCCTTCTCCTTCTCATTCTCATTCTCCTTCTCCTTCTCCTTCTCCTTCTCATTTCCCTACCTCAACATAATTCTTTCCCATTTTGGGATCACTGCTTTCGGATCGGCCAACTTTCGCAATTTACGCCAACTGAATTCATTTTCTTTTTGTAAATGAATGAATGAAAATTCATTTACTTTTCGAGTTTATGCAAAATCAAGTACTCGACGACGAACATGTTGAATAAATAAGAGACACCACAACAGAGACAAGCTGAAAATCGGGGTATTCGGTAGACATGGACACTATAAATTACAAGATCAGACTAAAGACACTTGTAGAAACGCGTAGAATAGATATTTTTGAAAATGTTTTCTACTAAAAAATTTAGCTAATTTTAGGCGCTCGAATGATACCAAAATCAAGCTAAATTATGTTCTCTGCATTGAGATTTAATGTTTTTTGTCAGGTTTATAGTTTCGTTCCATGGGATAGGACTATAAACCTGAAAAAAAACGTTATATTTCAGCGCAGAGATGGTGGATTGGCCTGATCTTGATGCCAGTCGAAAGCCCAAAGTTTGCTCGATTTTTCGGTAAAAACAGTTTGTAAAAATAGCCATTCTACGTTTTCCTACGAGCGTTTGTCATCTGATCTTGTAGTTTATAGTGCCGATGTCTAGTATGCGGTGTTGGATTAACGATATAATACTAAGCTCTGCAGGTAAATGATTCACATTTTACTTACAAACTACGACAACAAAGAGTCGATCCTCGAAATATGGAATTGGGTCGTATTCGAGAAAACTGATCACCCATCCGGCTGGCCAAAGAGTCACATAGAGAGAGACCTGGGGTATTTTTGATTAGCAAGAAAGCCTTTCTCTTACTAGAGAAATTCCCGTGAGCTTTCATTTCCTTCGTCATTTATTCGTCACTCATTTACATAAGGATTTCTCTTTTGCTTTGTAGATGATATAAAAAGAAGAAATTGAACTCTAAACTTGTATCCTGGGATTTTTGTTATGTTAACATTTCACCTTTTGCTTTTTTATATTGAATAGGTATAAGGTAAAGTATTACATCTAAAGCTATAAAAAAAACTAAAAAGCAACAGCAGGACCGAACCCCGATCTTACTAGTGAGAGGCCGTTCCACTATCCACAAGGCCACCGGTGCCCAAACCCCAGTGTTTGAAAAGCGCCCTTTAAAGCTTTAATGCAATTTTCTTCAATTCTTAAAAGTTCTTTAAAGCTTCGAAATTTTAATTCAATTTTTATGCGTTTGCAAGCTTATTTGGCAGATTTTGATTTCAAATTATGTATCTCCATACTCGATTTAGTAAGATGTTTGTGGTCCGGAAACGAAAGCTCAAGGGAAGAAGTTCGTGCCTTTCCCTAGTTAGTTTAACAACAATTAAACCCGGTAAACTTGGTTCGAATTGGTAAACTCAATAAATTATTAGCTGCAATCGATTTGCGGCCCCGAAAATCCCAGGATACAAGCTTAGAGTTCAATATCTTCTTTTTATATCATCTATAAAGCAAAAGAGAAATCCCCTATGTAAATGAGTGACGAATAAATGACGAATTCATTTTTTTTCATGATTTTACATTCTATTAAACAAAGATAATTTTGTTTTTAGTGAGAATCGGAATCTCAATTCAAAATTAACTAGCCACTGTGGTGAGCACCAGAGCAAAGCACAACATTTTATTGCTGAGAATCGTTTGGCGGTATGGAGCCGCTGAAGAAAAAAAAATCATTTTAAAATAGAATTACTTCATTTTTACCTTTACTATACAAAAATGCTAACACAATATACTGGAATAGAGAAAGGCACCAAATGGCGGTTCCCTGAAAAGAATTCCATTCATCTTTTGTTATTTTTCTTTTCAAATTACCTGATGAGATCGTAGATCACTATCAGTATAATCTTCTTGTAAAATATTCATAAAATACCATGGTTGTTCGGTCACCCATAAGAACATGAAAAGCTAAAAGACGTTCATAAAATAAAGATGAAATTCAGCTTGCTTCCGGGTGATTGTACTAATGTAAACGCACTCTTTCTAGTGCGTTCTAAAGCATTCCAGCAAGAAAATGAACTATTGATTGAAATAGAAAGGGTTTATTTACACTTTTAAGCACAAAGTACACCTTTGAGCAAGATCGACTCACCTGCGCAGCAGCAAAGATAATCATTTGTCCGACAACACTCACAACAGATGCGATCGATAATAACTTTGTTGGTGGAGGGATTTTCGATAAATAATCACCTAAATTCAAACAATACTTTCAACTCTATCACTTTCTCTGTCTTCCGGCAAATTCTTTTCCTAATCGCAAGAGTTCTCTCTTTCCAAGTCTTAAGAGAAAGAAAGGGGGTTGCCTTTAAGCCCCAATCCCCAAAGGTAACTTAATCTCATTCGAAATCCCAACCCTTATCCCACTAAATTTTGGTGTCATTGGATAGAGAACGAAAATTTCAACAAAAATTTGAGTTTTGGGTTGGATAGTTGGGAGAAAAAGGCTTTAAATAGGAAATTACGGTAAACGGCCCGCTACTTGACTCCTCGAGCAGCAAGTTTTACTCGGATAGAAACGAATACTGGGCCAATTTTCACTATTGAGGTATCATTTTGTAGCTAAGAATCTCTAGCTTTAAAATCACTAAAATTTGCCCAATATTAATGCACATCAACCACTTATTGCTTTCAAATACCTTTGAACGCTAATTATGGGCCACCCTTTAGTCTTAACATCGAAACTCAATTTCACAAAAGCTACAGTCAAGAACCTTACAAAAACCTTTAATGTTTTTTCTTTACTTACAAGCTCCTGTGTTTCCGAAAAACAGGGCAATAAACGTGGCCAAGAATAAATCTATGTACAGAAATTGGAAATCGGTCAAATTCGTCAGACGATAGTAGAGCATCATCACTGAGGTGAACTAAAATACCAAAATCATTTTTGTACGTCGAAAATGGATCTATTTTTCAATTTTTTTTTTTCAATTTCCAAAATAAACCTGTGCAATCGAATAGTTGGCCATGTACTTGAAGACACCAAAAGATGTGACCAATGCTGCTCGCCCTTCTCGGATTACAGTCGGAACACAACGAATATCGGCAACCTAATGACGAATATGACTTCGTAGTTACCATTTATTAAATGAGTTTTATTTATGAAAAATTTTGGCTTTTTTTTATGACTTTTAGTTGGCCATGTACTTGTATTTTTATAGTTTAAAACTTAAAACCTTTGATGTGAAGGGAGCGGCGATAGAGGCCTCTGCATCGGAAAGGGAAATTCCGGCATGAGCTGCCTGAAACAAAATAAATAAAATACAAATCAAAATCAAATCCTCTATGTAAGAACACTCTTTGAGTGACCCCGACAGACACCCCTCTCAAAATCTTTCGGTTTCGAGGAGCGAAAAGAGCACACAAGAACGTGATACCTTGGATGTAGACTTGTTTGACAGGATCCCATTAAGGCTTTGCGGGAATTAACGGGAAACGTTAGATATTCAGCTAATGAAAACTTTCATTTCCCGTGATTCCCCGATTTTCCCGTTAATTTCTCGATAAGCAAGTTTACTTAGATGCCAGATGGATTGAAACCCAAATCAGCCCTGTCTCATGCGTACACCGAACAAGAAAACGTTCTTCTTTTTTGTTCCATGAGCTTTTTTTAAAAGTTTTGATCGACTCTCGAATACCTTCAAAGCAGCACAATCATTTGCTCCATCCCCACACATTGAAACGGTATATTCTAACGTCTGGAGATAGTTCACGAGATACTGTTTTTGCTCGGGAGCCATTCGCGCAAAAACGTCGCAACTAAAAGTTTTTGATGAAATATCTAACTAAAAAAAAATAAGCCCTCACACAGTCATCAAATCGTCTAGAAGCTCCGGATATTCACGAGTGATCACAGCAAAAGTTCCACCTAGAAGTTGTTGTTTGATAATTGTTTGTATTTGAGAAGATTCTAGATTTTTCTTCTATTAATCACCAGCAACACTGAATTGATAGCTTGAAGTGAGCATTTTTTCAACTTCATTTTCATCTCCATCTAACAAATTCATGTAGTCATCTGGATCAGCCGAAAGATTCTGTAAAATCCTTATTTTTTCAATTCCAAATCATAGATTAATAACCTCTTTGACGGTGAGAAGTGTTCTTCCTTGAGCGTTTTTCTGATCAGGGACATGCTCGAGAAGATAAGCCTGAAATTGAAATTGTAAACGTTTTCGAAAGTCGAGCTTAGAATTCAATTCCTTTCTTCGAAAAAGACTCACTTTTCGATCAGCTCGAACAATTCCACATTCTCGAGCGACACTCATAGCTGTCAACAAGTTATCCCCTGTCACCATCACTGTTCGAATTCGGGCACTAAAATTACTATTTTTTGACAGAACAATACTATGTGTCAGTGATAGATTTTTCGTTTAGCCGAAACCTGTTCAACTGTCGAATTACTCCTTTGGTGACTGATTTCACTCGATTCTCCATCACAACCAAACCCAACAATTCGAGATCACTTTCCACTTCTTGCCTGGGTACCTGCAAGCGAATTGTTCAACTTTAAAAAAAACGATTTTAGCTTAAGTAAAGCAGCAGTTCAATTCCCGACCTTTTGTGCTTCCAAAAAGCTCATTTCCAATGTTCGACAAGCCACAGAGATCAATCGATATCCATGTTGGGCATATTTGTTCACAATCTAAATAGTCTTCTTCTTGCAATAAGATAAGTCGAATATGATTTCTATAATCCTTATAAACTGATGTAATTCACTAGATTATCAGTAAAACAGTAACGACTACGCGACTGTACGCTCAAAATACCGTCCAAAATGTGTTAATTTTGGATTTTGGACGATATTTTGAGCGTACAGTCGCGTAGTCGTTACTGTTTTACTGATAATTTAGTGAATAATCCTTTTAAGAACTTACAGAACTTTTAAGAGGTTACACAAAAATCTTCTCATTAGTATGGTATTCGAATAAATACGGTACTGAGAGTTTCACGGGTTTTAGTTTTAGCGTTTTTAATCATTCTAGACGGCATTCTAAGAGTACAGTCGCGTACTCGTTAACTGTTTTACTGATAATTTGGTGGAAATTCAAAGATAAACCAAACTATTATAGTCATTCCATAGGCCTGAATCTCCCCTTGAAAATCTTAATTATCCATTTCTAGGCTAAATGCGAGATGACGATGCACTGACCGTCCGAAGAATTTTTCTGGAGTGGAACTCTTGAAACAATCATCAAAGTCTCAAGTTTTGAACAGTTCCAACTGTATAGAACCATTGAATGTGTTAAATAAAAACTCACATCCAAATAATCGGCTGGAACAGTTTCCTTGTTGCACAATGAAACAATCATCTCTGGAGAACCCTAAAGAGAAATTGATCCTAAACCTGTTGAGATCTAGATTACCTTGCAATAAATGATCATTTGATGATCAGAAACAGCATTTGGAGAGCCAACAATCACCGACATTCGTTGCAATGCAGAGCTGAAAAGTGGATTTTCAGTTTTCAGGTTGATTGCAAAAAATTGTCAACCTGAAAGTGAACTGTCGAATGACTCCAAATTCATCGGCTCCATAAAATTCTCGATGTTCGACGGGTGGACGGACGACTGTTGGTTGAACTTTATCAAATTGAGTCGTTTCTTCTGCTTGACTAAAAAATTTTTTTTAATGAATACTCAAAATTTATGTCGAATCTACAAGGTGGCCGCAAATTATCGCCTCGCATTTTTTGGGCTATATCTTGGCCGCTGCTTCGCAAACCAGTTTAATTCCTTTTTAATATAAAAATTGCGATAATTTTCTACGAAGAATTTCTTTATACAAATTGTAGGATGCTTTTGAGATTTTTATTAAAGGCTTGGAAGATACGCTCAAAAAACCCTTCGCACGCAACATTATTCAAGCTCTTTCTAGTTCATTTTCAGACTGAAATCGGTTTTCTCGCTTTTCTTGATAAATTTAAGCTTTAAGAGTAACATTTGGATAATTCTTTAAGTTAACTTTGAGATTAACCGATGAAATTTGCCAGTTTCAAGAAGCCGATTGCATTCCAGAGCTCATAAAAACACCAAATGTTTGAAGACTTTTGTTGGAAAACATTTGTTTTTAGCTTTTTAACCAGAAAAGAGTCAAATAAACCATGTGAGAGCCGTTAAAACCTGTTCATGAAACGCTGCAGATTGGTTGCTTTGGGCGCATCTTCTAAGCCTTTAATAAAAATCTCAAAACCATCCTACAATTTGTATAAAGAAATCCTCTGTCGAAAATTTATCGCAATTTTCATATTAAAAAGGAATTAAACCAATTCGCAAAGCTACAGCCAAGATATAGTCCAAAAACTGCGGTCACTCTGTATAAAGTTGTTGAAATTTCCTAAATTCCAACCTTTCCTGTCCTTCATCCAATGTCCATTGCGTCTGATTGAAAACGATCAAATCGAGTGGATCACCTTGAAGAACACCGTCAATTCTGAATATTTAAAAACTTTAAAAAAAGCTTTAAATTTTTCAAAAATACCTTGTCAATGAATGGCATGCAGCAATCGCTTTGATGATTTCTCCATTTTTTGGCATTTCACCTGGCACCATTGCAGCCGTTTCTTCACCAAATTCCGGCATTTTTCGGTTCTGAAAATACCTTATTGTTTCTTAAAAAGTTTTGCTTTATGAAACTTTTGTTATTTAAAAAATTTATAACCAAAGTCTTTGGAATTCGGGGAAACTTACACTCGATGAGGGATGAACTGGTCGAAGTGTTTGAAAGTCCAAGCCATCTTCCGTCAACGTACCCGTTTTATCGAAACAACACTAAATCTGTTTATTGGAAATTGAATTCTACTGTTTATTTATACTGTTTATTTATATTGTTTATATTTATAGTTTATAGTAACTCACAGCATTTATCATTCCGCAAGTGTTGATCACCGATGGAGAGATACAGTAAATATCCTTTTTTCGTAAACGACCATTTGCGTTAATAATTCCGACAGACATTGCAGCTAGAGATTTGTTTTTTGACGGAAAAAGTAATTAATAAAGTGTTCTTTGAACTTTACTTTGCGCTAAAAGCAGAAACACACCCTTTTCTAGCGCATTCAATTCTCCGCTTTGCTTAAAGCAGAAATTTGACCAAAGAAGAGATGAATAGTGCACCAGAAAGTTTACGTTTCTACTCTTGAGCACAAAAAGTACACTTGGAAAACAATAAGTTTGTGTTTTTTTCGTCTCTAACTTCTTTAGTACCTGGTAAAGCTGGTGGCACAACACAAGTAACCAAATCGAGTGATCGAATGAAGATCTTTTTGAATTGAGCCTAAATTTAATTGATTCGTTGATCAGAGATTGTTCGATAAACTTATTTTATCAAAAAAACTTACGTTATAATGAACCATCATTCCAATTGTGTACGCGAATCCGATCGACGCAATGCAACACAAGAAACCGACGAACTGAAATTGGAAAAATTCTTCACAATATTCTTGAACCATTCCAGTTTACTCACATAAATACAAAAAAATACTAGCAAAGCACAAAAAGTTTTACTTTACCCGCAATAGATCACGATTAAACTCGATGTCCACTGGCTTTGGGTACATGATTGATCTGGAAATGCAGGCACATGATTGATCTCGCTATTTGATAACGGGGCTTTTTCCCAGATTATTTTTTGATTTGAATATATGGTCCGAAGGGTTAGCCGAACAAAAATTTTCGGTTCTATCCTGAAATCGTGGCTCGGGCAAATCAACTTTACTTTACGGCAATTGCACTTTACCATAGAGCCAAAGTACATTCAAAACCAGTTTTTATGCTTTACTATGTCTAGTTATGCACAAAAAACACAAAAATAAAGAAGGAAAATTTTTAAAACAGGAAGATTCGACTTTTTCTTTTGACCCTTTTGGATCGTAAAGTTCAATTTAGCCGCCAAATCATAACATAGCTAGATCCATGATGCTTTCCCTGTTTTCTGTGCTCGCTAACACTATGTAACTGTGGTCGAAGCAGTTTAAGTCAGTACTCTAGCACATGTCGAGTCATAACCTAGTCTCTATTTCAATGCTGGGGAAAATATTCTATAGAAATCATCTTCAGAAACTGATTTCCTGATGAACGGATTTTAGTGAATTTGCCATTGGACCACAATTCTAGGATTCACAAAAAAAACCAGGAAACGACCACGATAATTCGAAAAGACCCCGTTATCAGTATAGAGCCGAAATACATGCTTCACCGTTAATTTACAAAGAGAAAAAGCTTTTAAAGGTGCCTTACCTAACCAGTTGCCCCTTTGTTGTTGAAAAAGCCGTTCGAATGACCATCGCTCTCACATGTTGACCTCCATAATATCGAGTTTGGAGAACCTAAAAAAACTAGAATAAAACTTCTTTTGATGAATCGCAAACCATCGTTCCACAGGATAGCACATGTTTTGAGTGTTTCTCGAAATCGAATCGAACGTTTCCTGCCGCGTTGTCCTCATCAATTCCCGTCATTGCAACCTAAAGCATTGATTTGATTGTTAAGTTAGTAACCATTTAACCTTATCTCATACTTGTTTATTCACCGATTCTTTTTCTAAAATAATTAGACACAAAACCAAAGAAAAACTCTAAGAAGATCGGGTCGATTTGATTTTGTAGATTTTGGGTGTTATAGTTGAAAGAGAATTGGTTAAGCTAAATTTACGGAAGAGATTTGAAGACAATGGAATAGAAGGAAGCTGAGAGAAATGAAACAAAACCATTTTAGAATTTTAAATAGAAAACCTGGGCAGAACAATATAACAGGAAGCTAATGTGGGGAGGAAAATAAACTTCAAAACGCGTTATAAAAGAAAATTTACAGAAGGGGGAAGAAAACTTATGCAGAACTCGGCATAAAAAACCGGAAAACCTTCACGTTCCATCATGGAATGCAGAAAAATGAAAATAATGGCAAAAGGGAATGTTTGTGCGGGGTACGATGGCGCATCCACGCTTTAGAAAGCGCGCCGCGCCTTTTCGCGCCAGTCTCGCAGGAATCTAACTGTTAAACGAATTATTCAGTTGCTTTAAAGTGATCAATGTCTCTTCATTTTTCAATTCTCAATTTCCAACCTTTGTAACTGGAACACTTTCCCCAGTGAGCATACTCTCATTCACAATCACCGTTCCTGTCATCAAAATCGCGTCACATTGCATCACGCCACCCGTTTTTGGAATAATAATGATATCACCGGGAACTAGCTAAAAATTCTAGTTTCTCAATTTCTACAAAAGATTTTCTGAAGCATTTAAGCCAACCTCTCCACTATCCAAAATTGAAATCGTCCCTCCATCTCTCAGCACCGAGACCTGGAATGGAAATTTGCATTTAGGAGATTGCTGATTGCTAGACTATTGCTATTGCTGATTTATGAACTAAAAAAAGTTGATGAATAACATCTGAATGATTTCCCTTACTTCTCCACTTGAGTGCACCATCGAGCGAAGCTTTTTCTCTTGAGCTCTTGTCTAAAATTGTTCAAATCTCAAGTATCAATTGAGTTTCTAACCTTTTAAAACTCTTATAGTTTTCAAATTAAATGAATCAGTTCCAGCACCAGCTTTAACGTCACTAACCTGATAAACATCAAGCGTTAACGATCCAACCGAAATGATGACAATCACCGATGCATAATAGAGATATTCATCCCAATACCACAGAGATACACTAAATAAGGGGATTTTTGAATGGTTAACAGGTTTAATGGTTGATTTTTTAACCATTCAAAATCATTAAAAAGCCATTAAAACCATTAAAAAGCGTTAAAAATCAAATCGCAACCTTTTTCCGAGAAAATCCTCGGTTGGCGCTTTAAAGGGTGGTAAAACTACCGTACCCCTCCCAGACGCAAAATTTCCATTTTTTCAATCTTTTTCGTTTTATTTTATTTTTTTGCCTTTTTCTGATGTGGTCACGTTTGTTTTTGCAGGAAACAAAAAAGATAAAGCTAAGTTACGTTTTTAACAGCATTTTCGGTACTTTGGTGGTTGAGGGGCCACCGATATCTTCGATTTTCTCTTTTTCCGAGGTAATCGAGGGCGCTGAGCACGAATTTCGCAGCATTTATAACATAAATTTGCTCTTAAAACACTGGCTTGTGATCTCAAAAGGTCTAGTCACAGTTTAATGGTGCATAGTTAGGGCGAGGGGTGCACTTAGACAGGCTCGGGGTGGGGGTAGGTGCTGCAAGCTCTCTAGAGATAGCTCAACACATCCCCAACTATTTCCCGAAGAGCTCGCAGCACCCACCCCCAACCCGGGCCTGCCTAAGTGTACCCCCAACTATGCGTCATTACGGCTAAACGCTCACAAAGCCAAATGTAGACACACAAATTTGCATACGAAATCGCCAAAAAGCATTGATTTGGCATTACTTTCGAGGTTAAAAAAGTCAGTTCTTTAAAAGCAAATTTATGTTAAAAATGCAAAATTCGCACTCAGCGCCCTCGATTACCCTAGAAAAAGTCGAAAAATCGAAGATATAAGTGCCCCCGCCCCAACCACCAAAGTACCGCATTTCCTGTTTGTAGCTTTGAAGAGTTTGTTAGCTTGCTTGCTTGTAGAGCTTGCTTGCTTGTAGAGCTTGCTTGCTTGTAGAGCTTGCTTGCTTGTAGAGCTTGCTTGCTTGTAGAGCTTGCTTGCTTGTAGAGCTTGCTTGCTTGTAGAGCTTGCTTGCTTGTAGAGCTTGCTTGCTTGTAGAGCTTGCTTGCTTGTAGAGCTTGCTTGCTTGTAGAGCTTGCTTCCCGACAATCTGCTCCACGAACTTGATGCCAACTAATGTTAAGTTAAGTGGCTTTTATCATTTTCTATGGCGGAAGCTTTGTTTTTGTGACTTTTTAGTCGTGCTATCTTTTATACATGCAGATTAGGAAGGGTACGGTAGTTTTACCACGCTCTAAAGCACCAACCCAGGATTTTCTCGGAAAAAGGTTGCGATTTTGTTTTTAATGGTTTTAATGACTTTTTAATGATGTTGAATGGTTAACATTCGTTCACTGAATACCTCAAAACTTGAAAGATGTAAAACGGTGTGATGGCCTCTTTGAAAAGTAACACCAAAATCGGTTTCAATTTCACCTCGATCACATTTCGGCCATAAGTGATACGACGTTGTTCAACCTGAGCTTTCCATTTCATTTTTCTCTTTCACCAAAAAAAAAATAGTTTGCTGTATTAGGCTGTCCAGAAAGTCTTTTCGTTCCTTTTCGTATTTCCGTTTAAAAATAAAAAATTTACCAATTAACCTACCGTAAATACTGTAATAGTACCCAAGCCCCGTCGTACAGTCGTGTAGTCGCAAAAGTTTTTTAATATTTCATTTTTTTTCAAAGCGCCCGTACTTTCAAAGAATGCGTCTTAGGTATCAAAAAATAGCCCTGAATTTCAGCTATTTTTTGATACCTAAGCGCGCATTGTAGCATAAACCAGTGTCGAGAAAAGCTCGTTCAAAGCTAGACTACGCAATACTCCGCACCGTCATTATGGGGGTGGGGTACTATTACAGTATTTACGGTATGGTTTCCTCTAAATAGAAAGTGTTTATTGTTCAATTTCTCATCTTTTTAAGTCTTACGGTTTGTTTCATTAGAAAGGCCAATTATTTCTCGAGGCTAGACTAGTTGGGGGGGCAGTCTGGAACTTGACCCAAAATCAATATTTTTCCACGAAAACTTGCACACAGGGGTTTTTGACTCTGCTGAATCGATTGGTGATGGTTTCACACAACATTTCGCAATATTTACCTAGGTTTTGGCTCCGCTCCTTATAGGCACGTGGTTCCTAGGCTATCGCCTGATTCTCCTACGGCTGAGGTGAGTTTCGTTCCAGCTAGAAGCCACGTGCTTCTAGGTCCGAAACTCACCTATTTTTTACTTTATTTTTACAGAAATTTTGATCAGTTATCATTTTTCTCCTCATTTCAATCCGTTTTTTTTGACTTCTGATAAGGCATTAAGCCGCTTTTTGGAACGGATTAGGCTTTATGAATTTGGTTTTTTAAATGAAAATGAGCCAGCAAAATTTATGTTTTGCAATTTTGAATCGAATTTTTTTCAGCAAACCTCTTGAGTGTTTAGCCCATTGGAATCCTCCATTCGATTGATGAATACAGTGACTGGTGCCTGGAAAGGTTGATAGCTTGTAGCTAGCTGGCTGATGGCTAATAGTTTGTAGCTAGCTAGCTGATAGCTAATAGCTTGATAACCTTTTTGGCTTTAGTGGTTTTACAGCATTGAAAAAAAGGTTTTCGATAGTTTTCTGATAGTAAACTCGATAGTTTTCTAATAGTAAACTATCTATTTTCTAAAAAAAACAAACCGTACTGTCCAAACTTGACGGTGGAATGAATTTCTCTTCATCCACAAACCACGCGTAGAGCATCTTTCGAAAAGTGAAGTATCGAATTCGACCGACTAAATTCTTTTTTTAAAGTTTTATTAGTTTCAAAGTATCGTTAGCCTTAGATGAAGTTTGCCACCCGCTTAAGGCTGCGTTCTCAGGCAACCCGACTCCAAGGAACGACCGACCGACTCCGTCACCACTCGTACAGGACTTGCACCTTCTCTGATCTATGGCCCCAGTCAAAGGGACTTTGAGTAAGTGATGGCGCCGGATAGCCGCACCTATACGCTACATTTCCCCGCGACTAAAAGCCGAGGGATGCAGCGCTGGGCTTTTCCCCGTTCACTCGCCGTTACTAGGGGAATCTTTGTTAATTTCTTTTCCTCCGCTTAGTAATATGCTTAAGTTCAGCGGGTAATCACGACTGATCTGAGGTTTCAACTTCGATGCTTGCACGATGCCCCGTACACCCCACTGGCTATGTGTGCTTTTCAGACAACTGTGGTGAAGACAACTTTTCAGACAACTTTTCAGGCAAGGTGAAGCCGTGGAGTCGGCTCCAAGGAACGACCGACCGACTCCGTCACCACTCGTACAGGACTTGCACCTTCTCTGATCTATGGCCCCAGTTTAATCGTTCTACGGCCCCAGTTTATCGTTTAATAATATCGTTTTTTCGTACATGATTTTAATTTTTAGCGGAAAAAAATCACTCGCAACCCAATGAGTCTCAAATTTTCATTTCTGCAGCAATGTGTGCAAAAATTGAAAGCTTTTCAGACTTTGGGTAAATATTGATGAAAAAAGCTGAAAATAGATCTTGATCGCTTTGATTTCAGTTCAGAAAAACGGTGAAAACGATCCAGAAAAGGTGAATGATAGATGAAATTTGAAAATTTTCCCATCTGTCATGAAGATAAACGAATTTCAAGTTGATCTTTCTAATTAAATCCAGAAAAATCACAAACCATCATTATAAGTCCCGTCTCGGTTCGGCAATAAAAGTGGTTGATTGGGGGACTTTTGATCGATGATTTGAACACTTCGATAAACCATCGTTTGATTTTCGTCACTAAATGAGAATGAGGTTGAAATTAAAGCTCAAAAATGAGCTCTAATCTTGATTAAATCTTAAAATTTAAAGCTCAAAAATGACAAACACAAACCCTTCCCGGCATACCCAAATCAATCAATTTCCTCATAGAATTGAAAACAAAATAACGGGTACAATGTGCCAGAAAGATTGCGTTTACAAGTTTACAAGTAAAAGTTTTGTTTTGAATTTGAGCTAGCTAAAAAATTACATCACAAAAACGACATTCGCTTCATCCAAACTGCACTTTTCGGCTCGCATCTCGATATACCTAAAAGGACAAAAATAAAATCAGATTTAAGCTTGAATAGATAAGTTAAACGCATTGTGGGACATTTGAAACGCGCCGCGCCCCCTTTGCCATTGACAATTTAACTTTGAGCTGAAATATCTTGATGTTGAGCTGCTCAATTTAAATATTTTTAATATCATTAGATGCGCCAAGTCTTTCTCTATCGATTAGTATAAAAACTATTTAAATTGGACAGCCTAAAGCCAAGATATTTGAGCTCAAAGTTAGATTGCCAATGGGAAAGGGGCGGGGTGACGGACCTTTTATACGCGCCCCGCTCCTTTTGCCATTGGCAATCTAACTTTAAGCTCAAATTTCTTAGTGCTGAGCTGTTCAATTTAAATAGTTTTTATACCAATCGATAGAGAAAGACTTGGCGCATCCAATGATACCAAGAAAGTTTAAATTAAACAGCTCAACATCAAGATATTTGAGCTCAAAGTTGGATTGCCGATGGAAAAAGGGTGGGGACTTTTTTCAAATGTTCGATCACCAGTTAAACGTAAAATCTTGCCAACCATTCTTCTTTCCAATGCATCAAAAGTCGAAAGATTCCGAGGGTACAAAAAGTGAGTGCATAGAAGATTATCTAAACAAATGCCTTTTCTTAACACATTGACGACCGTGCATCTTTTGCGAAACGGCCGATTTGGACCAAGGATGAAGAACCAAATTCCAGAAATTTGCTTAAAAGACTCTAGAATCCGAATCCAGTCTTAAATTTAAGCCAAAAAACTCCATATAGTTTATTTTCACTGTTTTAGCTATCTTATTTTATTTTATACGCTAATTTTCTAGTAGTTAACTTCTCGATAAATGCTCCCTGTATGTTCCCGGGACAGAATTTTCTTTAGAATTGTTTTGAACCTTTAAAAGTTATTGATTACCTTAGAAAAACACGATTTTTTGAAGCTGATTTAATTACCCAAGTCCCGACCCGATATCCAAGGCAGTGTGACCCCTTCAAAAGTTATTTTTGCACTGCATTTTACCGTTTTCATAGGTGTCGTTCGGTACCCAAAGATGTCCAAGTAGATGTCACCTAAAAATTAACATGTTTTTTTGTCATATTGTATTTCTATATTGTCATATAGCTGATTGTTTTCAAATTGTTTTCAAATTGTTTTCAAATTTTTTCATTTCCTCTTTCGATTTCAAAAATAGTCTTTTTCATTTTGAGGAGGCGAGATGTTATTTTCATTTCTTTTTTTTCCCCTTGACGGTCTTCTCGACTAAATTTGGTAAATGTGGCTGAGAATTTTCTAATCCGTTTTTTTTGTTTTTAAAGTAAAATTTGTATCTCTAGTAGCTCGAAAAGAATGAGATCCTGGGAGCTAGATTTGAAACTACAGCCGAATTTCGATATAACGAACCTTAAGGAACCGGCCAAAAAGTTCCTTATATCTAGATTTGAAACTACAGCCAAATTTCGATATAATGAACCTGAAACTACAGCCGAATTTCGATATAATGAACCATAAGGAACCGGCCAAAAAGTTCGTTATACCGAAGTGTTCGTTGTATCGAATTTGAAAGAATCGATTGTATCGATTTGAAGGTAAAACCCTTCGATGGAAACCAAAAATAGTGTTCTTTTCGAAAGTGTTTGTTTATCGAACGTTTCGTTGTATCGAAGTTCGACTGTACTTTGTGTTCAAATATGGAAACACTTTCTGGTACACGGAATTCTTGTTCTTTGAAGCAAAGACTTAGTGCTATGAGAAAGAGTGCAATGTGCTAGGAAGGGGCTAAATTTTAATTTACGGTTCAGGCTCAGATTTTGTTGCTTTTGTTACTTAGCGTTACTGTTACTTTGTTACTTAGCGTTACTGTTACTGCTGTTATTTTTTAACCTTACTGCTACTTTGTTACTTAACCTTACTGTTACTTTGTTATTTAACCTTACTGTTACTTTGTTACTTAACGCTACTGTTACTTTTGTTACTTTACGGCTAGCTTATTTTCTTTTCGACAGCTCCATGCGACAAAAACAGCGACAAAAAAAGCAAAAGTTATTTGCCGGAAACGACAAAATCTTTTTCTTTGACAAAATCAAAATCAAAACCTAGAACTAGGCTTACTTTTATGTGTTTTTTTAGACCGTAAAGTAAAATTTAGCCTAAAAAGGGTGCGTTTCGATAGTTGAACACAAGATGAGTGCACGGAAACTATTCCCTTTTTTTTTGTTCTTCACTTACCGGATTGTACTCTCGCATGATGTCCAGGTATTCCCTTTGATCGATCTGTATCTTTTCCTTTCCCTTTCTCCATCTCCAAACCACCAATCCGCTTTTGAACAGTTTCGTAACGAAATTTTCGGCGTAATTTCCGAAAAACCTTTTCTCTCCAATCCAATACGTGGACTTAAAACAAAATTTGACACTTTTCCGTTATGAGGGCCCATTTCTCTTCTCTTCCTCACTTCCGTTATTAGGGCTCAAATTACCATGCATGCAAATTTACATTTAAAAGTGACACCACAAAGAGAAACCGGAACTATATAAAAAGAGCGCCGTTCAAATGAGCGCCTTAATCAAATAGGCGCCGCTCAAAAGAGCGCGACTAGATTTTTGCGCCCCAATTTTTTTTGCTTTTCTTGATGTTTTTGCTGGTTTTTTTCATGTTTATTTACAATTTTTTTGTTTATAGGTAAAAGAACGACGGGGAATTTGCGTTTAAAATTTCGTTTAAAAGTGCGGCGCTCTTTTAAACGACGCTCTTTTAAATGGTGTTCTTTTAAACGACGCTCTTTTAAACGACGCTCTTTTAAACGACGCTCTTTTAAATGGTGCTCTTTCAAATGGTGCTCTCTTAAACGACGCTCTTTTAAACGACGCTCTTTTAAACGACGCTCTTTTAAACGGCGCTCTTTTAAACGACGCTCTTTTAAACGACGCTCTTTTAAATGGTGCTCTTTCAAATGGTGCTCTCTTAAACGACGCTCTTTTAAATGGTGCTCTTTTAAATGGTGCTCTTTTAAATGGTGCTCTTTTAAACGGCGCTCTTTTGGCGGCTCTTTTAAACGACGCTCTTTTGATATAGTCCCGAGAAACTAATGCAGCTAAAATTTCTATTCCAACATTGTTGCATTCGCTATGTTTTATTCGCATTTGTTGAAATAAATGGGATTTTAACTGAAGGTTAATCATCGCTACAACTTTTTGAATCCGGATGACATAGACGTGCACATTCAGAACATCGAGCGTCTCTGGGGCTCTACGAAGTGGAGGAACAAAAAGCACAGGGGCACTTCCTTTCAAGTTTTCAGCTATTTGGCCGAGTTTATGGTACGACAAGAAGTTGGAGACAGTCATATGTACGATTGGATCTTATCTCTTATTTCAATTTCAAGTTTCAAGTCAACTCTTAGCTGCCTCAAATTGTTTAAGCCACGAGCAAATGTATTATGATTTATGTAGAAAGATTTGTTTTTGATTTATGATTTTTTATGATTTGATTTATGATTTTTCATGATTTTTCAAAATAAATTTACATTTATGGATTTGGGCTCTCATAATAAATGAGGAAGAAGTAAGAAATGGATCCTTATAACGGAAAAGTACAAGAACTTTCACAAGAACAAGAATCAAATCAAACATCGCTGTACAAAAGTACAAGAACTTTGATAAGAACAAGAACATCAAATCAAACATCGCTGTAAGGTTAATGTGATTTTAAAAAATGAAAAAGAAAGAGGGAAAATGAGGGAAAACGAGGGAAAATTGGGGATGGATGGCGTGAAGAATTTACAAGCGTTTTGCGAGAATTTCTCTTATCAAACCCATCTTTTCATCTTTCCTTTTTTTTCAAGAAAAGCCAATTCAACATGAAAGTCGCAATCATTCTTTTTTCCTTCTTTCTTTAAAGGGTTTTCTGATCTCACTGGACAAAAGGAAATGAATTTTTTAACTGTTTTTTTACAAGATTAAGATCAAAGAACTTTTTTAAAAGAAAAGAAAAATAAAAGCAAAAAGAAAAAGTGAAAAGCGTGTGAATTTTGTTTTGAAACTATTAAGCAAAGAATTTCTTGGTCAGTCTGAAAAAAACACGAGAAGAAAGAACAAAAAAACAAACTTTTTATTGATTTTAAATGTTTAAAATGTTTTTTTTTGAAAGTTAAAGCTTCAAAAGTTCTTATTCTTTTATTGAAATTGTATAAAAAGGGAAATAAAGCTGATCGATCATTGAAAAAAGATTGAAACTGGATTAGAATCAGATCTTAGACTCAAGTTTTATGGAAACTGATCGCATGTAACTTGAAAATCTACTTTAAATTCGAATTCAACTTTAAAAATCTGCTTTAAATTCAAGTTAAACTGTGAAAATCTAGTTCAAATTCAATTTCTACCTTGAAAATCTACTTTAAAATCAAGTTCAACTTTGAAAATCTGCTTTAAATTGAAGTTCAACTTTGAAAATCTAGTTAAAATTCAATTTCTACCTTGAAAATCTACTTTAAATTGAAGTTCAATTGTAAAAATCTACTTTAAATTCAAGTTCAACTTTGAAAATCTAGTTCAAATTCAATTTCTACTTTAAAAATCTACTTCCAATTCAATTCCAATTGTAAAAATCAACTTCAATTTCAAGTTAAACTGTGAAAACCTATTTTAAATTGAAGTTTAACTTTGAAAATCTAGTTCAAATTCAATTTCTACCTTAAAAATCTACCTTAAATTGAAGTTCAACTGTAAAAATCTACTTTAAATTCAATTCCAACTTTGAAAATCTACTTCAAATTCAATTTTTACTTTAAAAATCTACTTTAAATCCAATAAAATCCAACAATTCAAATGAACTTCAAAACTTTCACTGAACCCGACTCTAGTTTTCTTTCCCAGAACAAGTTGGGGTCAACACTTAAAAATCTTTTGAAAAAGTGTTCCTTGAAATGGTGAAAAGTTTCAAACTTGTCAGAAAGCTGAAAAAAAAATGAGAAGAGAATTGGCCTTTTCAGTCTGAAATCGTTCCTTTTCCCCCCTCTTTTCATCTCTTTCAGTGGGCAAATTTGCACCGAGAATTGTCCCCTCTTTTCGTTTCATTCTTTTTCACTCGAATTTTTGCCTCATTCAAGCCGGCTTTTCGCAACGACATGGATTATCATCGCCACCACGAGCTCTCCCCATTTCTTTTTTGCTTACTTTTCACATTTTAACATTTTCAGAACATTTCTTTTGTTGATGAATTGAGCAAATATATGAAAAGGTCAAGAATTTTCAAGCTGAACCCTGTGAATAAGCGTTAAATCAGTTCTTTTGCTAAAACATTTGAAAATGAATTTCTTTTGTCAGTTTTAGTTAGTTTTCTATTAATTGTATACCAGCGGAAACTGTGGAGGTCCACGTTTTCCACGTAAATCCACGTAATCGTAATCCTACCCTTTTTGCCAATGGCTGCGCACAGACAGACGAACGAACAGAAGTCTCTTCTGCTTTATATATGTCGTAGCCTTAATATAAATTAGAAAGATTGGATAAAAAGAAAAAAAATTATGGGGTCTCAAAGTTTCCTCTTGAACAAACAGTTTTTTTGCTCTAATTTTTTTTCTTTTTATCAAATCTTTCTAATTTTAAAAATTTAACATAATTATTAATGATTCTGCGTTGAATGATACCAAATACTTGATGGTTGGACGCTCCTAGACCCACTCATTCATAATCGGCTACGGGGGTCCCGCCGATTTTGAATGAAACGTTGTAGCACCGGTAATTTTTAACCTAAACTCACAAATTTGGTACCAATCGACGCAGAATTTAATTCGCTACAGGATGATATAATATTGTCCTCATACATTAAAGGGTTGCTCTACTAGAAAGATTTACCAAAAAATTTCATTCATAATCAGCTACGACATATATAGTAGGATGCGGTGGTGCCAGTGTGGCTGTCTCTGGAATTAGATGCCTGGGTTCGACTGGTGGCTCAGGTGGACCGGTTCATAGCCCAGTCATGCAATTTAACTCGAGAGCTTTGTCTCCTGATTCTCCTGATTATTTGATCCAAATTCCATTTTTTAATGCCAACTAAAATTGATTAGAAATTCGAATTATGCCTATGATTATAAAGGCGCCTTAAAGTGTCACTCGGCTACCGTATCGCGTAACTCATTTAGTATTTTCTAAACGTAAACCTATTGTGTGTGTCGAATTATGATTATCGTTCTGAATAAATCACTCATATCTCTTTAACAAATTCACGACGAAGGTGATAGTTTATCGGTTTATCTTGATTGCAGGCTTCTTAAAAAGGTTGGAAATTTCTGATCGGAGTCATTTACTTCTAGAAATGTTCATCAGAATTTCAGCTAAATACGATAAAACTGCCTGTGAATGTGGGCCCACATGGTGGGTTCTTCGATTCTTTAGCCTGAGTCGTCAGATTGACTTTGATCGACGAAATTTGTGAGGATCCCAAATCGATAGTGGGAAATCCAAATCCGGTGTTAGATTTGTTAAAAAAATGTCTTCCTGGCAAGTGTTTGTGCCTTTTTCGCGGCAATGAGATCGACTTGGCAATGAGATCGACTTGGCAATGAGATCGACTTGGCAATGAGATCGACTTGGCAATGAGATCGACTTGGCATCGCTCGTTCTGCTCCTGTGTGACAATCGGCTTGATGACAATTCTCTTCTTTGGGGTCCCCTTCTTCAACTTGCACTCCGGGCACAGCTTAACAAAGAAATTGGCAATAGATCCTGAAAATTGAAACAAAGATAATCTAATTGGCAAATCGGCTAGGAATTTCGGCCAAATTTCGCGGCAAACGCCCGACATGGCGCAGACGTCCCGTCTCTCTTTCGACTCTCTTTCGTCCAAGACGCCAGTTTTATGAAAAACGGCATCGTCTTGAATGTGTTTATATGTTTATGAAAGTTTATGCTTTTATGCAATTTTTCTAAATTCATTTATTCGCTCAGAATCAGAATTGACGTCAATCTGACGAATGAATCAAATCATTTTCAAATCATCACACAAAAAGATCTGAAATCAGAAATCAAAAGAATAGCTCACATTTGTCTAATGAAAATTTTTCCATCTCAAGAAGATTATTTACTTGACGCATTCGGAGATTCTTTCAATCTCTGGATAAACCCGTAATCCACATGACACACAGAAGAAAGACGACAAAAAATATTCTTAGAAGAAAATGGCAAATGGGGATTAGTGAAGGTGGAATTAAAAACAGAAATTCATCATAATCCTGAAAAATTTCTTTAAAAATAAAGAAATTCTTATCGAAAATATGTTTATCCAATGGATAAATTCGATATTTTGATAAAGAGAATATGAGAAAATCGAGAAATTTGGCCGAATTGTTGGCTACGAGAAAGTTAAGTGAACGAAAAAATGCATTGAATCAATAGATTCGAGAAACTGAATTAGAAACGAGTTGTCAAAACGATTTTGTTGTCAAAACGAGTCGCTGAAAGAGTCGAATTGAATCGATCGAATCGATAATCTAGAATCGAGATTCTGAATAGTCGATGTTTACCTTACCCACATCAACATTTCACATCTAAACTGCACTTAACTTCAGTGCCTTAGATGTGAAATGTTGACGTGGGTAAGGTAAACATCGACTATTCAGAATTCTCGATTCTAGGTTATCGATTCGATCGATAATTCGACTAATTCGACTCTTTAAGCGACTCGTTAACGACTCTAATTATCGACTTAATTACAAATTAATCGAATTCACAATGATCACATGATAATCAAGACAATTCCTCATCGATTCCATGAAAGCATCGATATCTTCAACGGTAAAACCAATCTTCAGTTCTTGACCGATATCCAACACAACATTTGATCGCTTTGAGCGAACACCGGGAAGACAATGGAGCTCTCTGAAAGGAGGAAAATTGGTACAGCTTAAAAACGTTGGACAATTCGACAAATTTGGACAATTCGTTAACTGCTAGACATGTTTTAGGGTTATCGGACATTTGAAACAAGCGCCGCCTCTTTTCGCATTGGCAAACTAACTTTAAGCTCAAATTTCTTGATGTTGAGCTGTTCAATTTAAATAGTTTTTGTACCAATCGATAAAGAAAGACTTGGCAAATCTAATGATATAAAGGATATTTAAATTAAACAGCTATAAATGGATTGCCAATGGGAAGCGTATAAAAGGTCCGTCGCCCCGCCCCTTTGCCATTGATCCAACTTTAAGCTCAAATATCTTGGTGTTAAGCTGTTCAATTTAAATGTTCTTGACATCATTAGATGCGCCAAGTCTTTCTCTATCGATTGGTACAAAAACTATTTAAATTAAACAGCTCAACACCAAGATATTTGAGCTCAAAGTTAGATTGCCGATGCGAAAAGAGGCGGCGCTTGTTTCAAATGTTTTTTTTAGCGTAGCTTTCCGATTTTGCAACTTAAACATTGTAAAACCAAAAATCTGTTTGCTTTTGGAAAGCTTAGGCTTTATATTATTCTATAAATCTTTTACAAAACGTTTTCTTTACCTTTTCATATCGAGAGCCCAAAAAATTGGTGATGTCGCTTTTCCCCAAGTACTCGTCGTACTATATTTGCATGTTTCTTGATCCTCAAAATAGACAATCGTGATGTTCTCGAGCTGAAAAATTCTATTAAAAAAATGCTTTTCATATTTGAGAATTTTTGGCTCTTCGCTTTTTGGCTAAGCTTTTCTTTACCTGAATTTTCCGATCTCTCTTCGAAGGGAAATGAAAATTTCGAATGGTGAGATTGTAGTCATTTAAAGTCACGAATTCGTCCGCGTAAAGCAAGCACATTTTTCTAAAAAAACTGTAAAGATTTATTCTCAAAATAGACTAATAACCAAAAAAGTATTGAAGAAAAACAAAAGCAAACTTGACTAAACAAACCTTCTTCTAATCAAGCTCAAGTATCGCTGAGCGAAATTCGTAGCACTTGATGCCATTTTATAGAGAATTACGGAAAACGAGAACGAGAAAGCTCGAGGAATACTCAGAAAATTGAAGTGTGAAGTCTGAGAATTTCTGGGAGCTCAAGGCAAATCTTTGTTGTGTAAATGAGAGAGAATCTCCCAATAAATATCAAGATTGCTGCGGAAAAAAATGGGCGTGGCTTCATTCCCTCTTGCGTACATCGGAAATGATTCTCGCTGAGAGCATTTTCCCTGTGTTTCTTTCGATTTCGGGATTTTTTCGGGATTAAGCCGGAAATTCGTATAATTCGCGATAACACAAATTCGGATCTTTTTTGAGAAAAACTCATCACAAAAATCGCTTGTAGTGGTTGAGGGTGGATTCCGGAAGAAAACTTGGGAACATTTTATGGGGGAAAACCTTCACGAAATCATTATAGCATCTAGGTTTATCAAGTGGAAAACAAGGAACTTATATACCGTAAATACTGTAATAGTACCCCACCCCCATAATGACGGTGCGGAGTGTTGCGTAGGCTAGCTTTGAACGAGTTTTTCTCGACACTGGTTTGTGCTACAATGCGCGCTTAGGTATCAAAAAATAGCTGAAATTCAAATTCAAATACACGACTGTACGACGGGGGTGGGGTACTATTACAGTATTTACGGTAATTATCTTTAACAATATCTTATATACCTATTGTACAAAAATTGAGTAAACGAAAATAGACCATAAAGCTACGAAATCGCGGTATGAATAGAACGAAAACAGAGCTGAATCTTTCGAAAAACAATCTCTCCGAATATAGATTTTTCTCTTAAAAAGTGAAAGGTTCGAATTTCCGGATCAATTTCCGGAAAGCTGAAATTCAGGGCTATTTTTTGATACCTAAGCGCGCATTGTAGCACAAACCAGTGTCGAGAAAAACTCGTTCAAAGCTAGAGCTACGCAACACTCCGCACCGTCATTATGGGGGTGGGGTACTATTAAAGTATTTACGGTATATAAGTTCCTTGTTTTCCACTTGATCAACCTAGATGCTATAATGATTTCCTGAATCAACCTAGATGCTATACGGTAGATTCTTTTTTTAGATGAAAACGTCAGATTTGGAAAATTTGGTTGATCGCTATGCAAAACCCCAAAGCCAATTCGATTCTCTTGAGACTTTTCTTGGGACAAAGAGTTAAAATAAACTCTGCCAATAGGTTCTACGATCAAAGACACAAATTTTTAACAATAAATCTTTGAGAGTCTTTGGGAATCATTTACAGAGCAAAAGAAAAAAAAAGAAGATCTGAGAGCCAAAAAAGGAATGGATTGACTTGATACTCCCAAAAGGTTAGTTCTGAAAGCTAACAAACAACAGGTCCACTTTCGCTAATATAAATTTCGATCCTAAAAAAAATGATTTCATTTTATATTTCTCTTCACAGTCTAGACGTTACTTTGCGGAAATTTGATCTGAAAATTCGAAATGAAACAGTCTAAAAGTCTTTTTTTTACCAAATTTCTCCATCATATCCGTTTAGTAAAGGAAATTGATCCGGAAATTCGAACCTTTCACTTTTTAAGAGAAAAATCTATATTCGGAGAGATTGTTTTTCGAAAGATTCAGCTCTGTTTTCGTTCTATTCATACCGCGATTTCGTAGCTTTATGGTCTATTTTCGTTTACTCGATTTGTGTACAATAGGTCTAAAGATATTGTTAAAGATAATTACCGTAAATACTGTAATAGTACCCCACCCCCGTGGTACAGTCGCGTAGTCGCAAAAGTTTTTTAGTATTTCATTTTTTTCAAAGCGCCCGTACTTTCAAAGAATGCGTCTTTGGTATCAAAAAATAGCCCTGAATTTCAGCTATTTTTTGATACCTAAGCGCGCATTGTAGCATAAACCAGTGTCGAGAAAAACGCGTTCAAAGCTAGACTACGCAATACTCCGCACCGTCATTATGGGGGTGGGGTACTATTACAGTATTTACGGTAGAAATTGTTTTATTTCAAAAAATTCTTATTGAATTTCCCAATAAAAATAAGTATTTGTGATGTTAAAACTAGGGTTTTTCATCATAATCATTAATCATTTCATTAATCATAATCGATTTTCGCTCGAGCTTTTTAATCATAAATTCATAACAACATTAAAAGATTCATCGAAGAAGCCTCAAAATTTAATAAAAAGGGAAAAGATTGGAGGAAAAATAAAGAAAAATGTGATTGTAGTACTTACGAAATCTTATATGAATCCAAATGAATCCAAATAAATCCAAAAAAATGGTAAAAAGATCATATGAAGCTGAGCAATTGAGCTTTTGACTCATTTGACTCATTTTAGCTACAGATTTTTGTATTCTAACACAGATTCAAGTTTCTAACTCAGTTTTATAATAGTTTTCAAATCATCATGATTTCATGGTTTTTCATCTTTCTCATCTTTTTCATCTTTCTTGATCATCAGATTTCTTGCTCGTAAAGGCGTCGACGCACAACTCTTTCATGTCACTATTTCATCATTACGTCGCTTAAGTTCATTTGGTTGTTCTGGAGGGATTTTGAGAAGTTTCGAAATAATTCTAATTCTAATTCAAACTATTTCAAATGTCATCTTGGTTTTACCCAGAAAAATCACCATTTTCTCGTCAAAGCCGTAAGCCGATTTCTGTTTTTTTTTTTGGTTTACTTGGGTGGATTTTTTTGCTGATTACTTCCCTCAAGCCGATGTGCGTAGTTGTTCCATAAATAAACAAAAGATTGCTGAAGTTCGAAGCTCGAAAATAGATTTTGAAACTTCATCTTTCAATTTAGAAGGATTTAGAAGGATTTGAATGGGATCATACTCTGATCATTTTGCATTTTGGGGTTTGGCATAGTTTTTTCTTGATGTTTATCAAGCGATTTGTAAAAGCCTTGGCGAATCAATTAACCAAACTAGTTTAGTTGTGTGCACAAAAGCAGCTCTTTTCTGTGAAATCTTATTTGATGCTTTGATTTTGAACATCTCTGATTCTCTTGTCCTTCCCCTAAAGATCGTTTGTGTGATAAAAAGGGACGGAGCCCACTTTGTATTTTTTCTCGTTTAGCTTTGACACCCTGAACCAACGTTTGATTCTATTTTATTGTATTTTCTCGCTAGATTAGTGATTGTGCTATATTCGGAATAAATATCTAAATAATCATTGCCCCATCGGTACCCTCTTACGCACTGCACAAGCTGAGTACTTTTGCATTTCCGTACTTCTGGGTACTTGGGCAAAATAAAGCAAAATAGTAGAAGAATTTGTGAACATAAAAATTTTTGCCACGCGGGGGACTCGAACTCAACCCACCAACCGGTCCGAGCGTCCGATGGACGAGCACACTACCGACTACACCACGACCGCCGTTGAGCGCTGTGCGTATAATCACCTCAAGACCACGAGCGTCTTTGAAGGAGAAGCGTAAACTTAGCTCAAAAGTTTATCGCAAAAACTTTGATGCCTTGATACTTTGATCTTTTGTTTGCGAGCTATTCAGCAGATTTTGATTACAGATTCGGATTCGCCGCTCGATTTTCTATCGGATGGGCTAAATCCCGTTTCGAAATCCCACGGTGACCTAGCACTTTTCCCTAGTTAAATACTTCCACATCTTTGCCCCGCCAACAAATAATATGCAAATTGATCTTTGACATCTTACTTCATCATTGAATTTTAGCGTGTTTTCTCCAAGTTTGATATGCTTTTTGAATAGATTTGAGCTATGAATATAAACCTATTAAAGTCATTTATACTTATTTCCCCTACTTTTCATTTATACTTATCTCTACCAAGCTAGACATGGGGAATTTACATTTATTTTTATTTATTTAGGTCCGGGTCCACCAACTGCTAAATTAGCAATTAGCAAAACTTTCGTTTTACAAAATTCAACACTTCCATCAACGCATTTAGCAAGTTTGGATTTAGCAAAATTGGTAAATGCTAAACTGCTAGATGGTAAATCGGTAAATGCTCGATGGGAAATGGACCCGGGCCTTGTTTTGGTTTTCGGGGAAAGATGCCGAAGCACTCACAGCTATACACGTCTAATCACAGCGACAACAAACAAAAGCAACAAAAATCACAGTACAAAAGCAACTTTTGTTTCAAACAACTCAAAAACAAAGTCATCGTTTACTTCTAACATAAGATTCACCTATTTTTCATTCATTCCTTTTTTTCTGATGACTTAGTATGATGTTTTGATGAAATTTCCCCTCGTTTTGATGTAATTTCAAACGCATTTACTTTTTTTCATTCACTTTCATTTTACACCCACACTCGAATCAGCAAAAATAGAATCATCGCTAATGAAATTCGCGCAAACGGTGATGAGTGATTGCAGAAATCGGCATTACAACAACAAACATGGTAAATCTCGTGATCGTATTCGGATTTGATCTCACTGCAACCCGTTTTCTGAAAAACATTATGAGAATTTCAAAGTTTTGAATCGAAAAATGTATCTTGCATATCTTAACTATCATGAATAACTTTAAATGATGATTTAAATGATGATTTAAATGATCTTTAAATAATGATTTAAATGATCTTTAAATAATGATTTAAATGACCTTTAAATGATCTTTAAATAATGATTTAAATGATCTTTAAATCATCAATTAAATGGCTTTTAAAAATAGATGAATAGGACTCGGTATCGTTAAGGATTCGGTATCGATAAGGTTATCGAGTCCAGATCGTTAAGATCGTTAAGATAAGCAGGTCTAAACTAGCGTGTGTTCCTCTCGAGTAATGCGCTTTCTAAAAGGCACCTATTTAAGACAACTACAGTAGTCAAACTGCCAGTTTACATACGATCAGCCCGATTTTGGTATCATTCGATGAGCCATGTAATTCCTCATCAAAAGATGCCAAAATTGGGCTGATCGGATGTGAAGTAACGATTTGACTACAGTAGTTTTTGACTCAAATAGATACCTTTTAGAAAATTACTTGAGACTTGCATTAATTGCATTACTTGAGAGGAACACACGCTAGTTTAGGCCTGCTTATCTTCACGATCTTAACGATCTGGACTCGGTAACCTTATCGATACCGAATCCTTAACGATACCGTGTCCTATTCATCTATTTTTAAAAGCCATAAAGGCCTTTTTCCCCAGAAACAACTTTAGAAAAGGCTCGGAGTCTAATATATTTTTGACTTTTATTGAAAACAACAACATCAATGACAAATTTTTGAAAGGATGCTGATTATGATTTGGCAAAACAGCAAGCACAGATTTCTGCATCACTACCCAAATAAAGAAATCGATTTGTTACAGATTTAGAGATGCGAATCATCTGTTAGTTATCAAATTCAGCAAAAATCGTTTGTTTAGTAGTTCTCTATTATTTTTTAGCAAGATTTGAAACGCAGTCTTGAGCATTCGCGTTCTGGGCTCTATAAGGCTCAAATTTTTCTAAAAGCTGAAAAAAAAGGCTGTTTCTATTCGCGATGCAATAAATTGCTGATTATTAAGTTTTAAACTAAGTTTTGACCCTTTCTTAAAGGACTCGGTATCGATAAATTCCGAGATCGATAAGGTTCCGCACTCGTTAAGGACTCGTTAAGCAGATCTATTAGGTTGGTGGGAAAATAATCGAAATTTGGAGCCTCTAGCTTCAAGTCCAAAACTAAAAGCCAATAACAAATGAATTTATTCAAAGTAAAAACCATCAACAACTATACACTGCTGCCGACGCAAAAGGACTCTTAAAATCAAGGACAAAGTCTGAGTCTTGTTTATTTCGATTATTTTCCCACCAACCTAATAGTTGTATAGGGTGCGTCATAATTATTGCAACAAGAGTTCAAAGACCGTTTTCCAAACAGCTTTCTTATTTTTTTGCCCCCTTTTTTGTTGTGTTGCGTTCTATCCTCTTTATTCTTGCCTAATTGCCTCCCGCTCACACGAAGAAGACGGTTCAGGACTGGTGTGTGGCCAACTTTCCCTCAGTGATCACCAAGGATGAATGGCCTCCAAACTCACCGGATCTCAATGTGATGGACTTTTCCATTTGGGCAATTTTAGAGGCTAATGTCTGCTCTTTGACCTTGAAGAAGTCTTTGAACAAAGGATGGAAGGCGACTCCTCAAGATGACATTCGGGCCGCAGTGGAGGCATATCCGAACCGATTAAGGGCTGTTATCAAGGCAAAAGGCGGTCATATCGAATGATCTCTTGTTTCCTTATTTGTTACTGTTAAATAAAGCTATTTCTGTTTAAAAATCTTCTTCCAGTGAAACTTCTTGGTGTGCAATGCCTTGAGTATCTTGTTGCAATAATTATGACGCACCCTGTAACTGGCGATTGATGGCGAAATTGAAAGTTTTAGATCAAATTTACCGATTGAATCGGTTTGTTGGATCAATTTCTCACCTTGCATTTCAATGGATGATACAAATCCCCGTGTTCATCATCTTCAATCACCATTTCATCACATCCTCTCATCGTAATTTTCGTCACTTCAGCTACGGAAACTGAAAAGTAAAAATGACGTCTAAATCTGATCTCTGGAAATCTCTAATTTCGTTTTTCTCTTTGCAAATCACAAACCATAGTGAGCGGTAATTTTCTGACAAAAGGTAATCCCTTCTTCACATTCAACATATTGTGTCACGATGTCGACCACCTCACCGTCAATTGTACCTGTTGAAAGAACAAATGATGATCATGACTCAAATTTATGTATATTTTTTGATCTTAGTAATGAAATAAAGCTTTTATAAAGATCTTTTACTAAAAAACAAATGACTCAACGACCTTTTTGAGTACTTATAGGTTATATCTCCACAAAATTCGCCTTTTCAAGAAGCTTTGCATTTCCCCAAAAACAATAATCTACTATATAAAGGGACTAAGATGACTGTCTGTCTGTATGCTTATTTGTCTGTCTGTCTGTTTATCTGTATGTCTGTCTGTCTGTTTATCCGTCCGTCTGTCTGTCTGTTTATCCTTCCGTCTGTCTGTCTTTCTGTCTGTCTTTCTTCTGTCTGTCTGTCTGTCTGTCTGTCTGTCTGTCTCTCTGTCTGTCTGTCTGTCTATCTGTCTATCTGTCTATCTGTCTGTCTATCTGTCTATCTGTCTGTCTATCTGTCTGTCTGTCTGTCTGTTTATCTGTCTGTCTGTCTGTCTGTCTGTCTGTCTGTCTCTCTGTCTGTCTGTCTGTCTATCTGTCTTCTCTGTCTGTCTGTCTGTCTCATCTGTCTGTCTGTCTGTCTATCTGTCTGTCTGTCTTCTGTCTGTCTCGTCTATCTGTCTGTCTGTCTGTCGTTGTCTGTCTTCTATCTGTCTGTCTGTCTGTCTGTCTGTTTATCTGTCTGTCTGTCTGTCTGTTTATCTGTCTGTCTGTCTGTCTGTTTATCTGTCTGTCTGTCTGTCTGTCTGTGCGCGCTACTGCCCCCAGAGGTCCGTTTGTAATGATTTTTGCACCGTTGAATAGGGAATTACATGTAGTTCTGCAACGTGCTTTTGGATTTTTTAAAAAGCACAATTCGAATCGCACGGGGGGTCGAACCCAGATCGTATGGGTGATAGACCGGCGCGCTATCCACTGCTCCACGGCGACAGAACTTATCCATCCCTAAAAAATCCAAAAAAACCGGGTAGGCGTTCGGCTGGTCTACTATATAAAAAGACTAAGACGCCTGTCTGTCTCAGTCCCCAAAGAACCGTTGAAAATTATTTATAGTTAGTTTTACTTAGAATTTCATCTAATTGTGCAACATGTTTTTAAATTTTTAAGAAACCAAAATTGCCGACACGGGCGGGAGTCGAACCCGGGTTGTGTGAGCTAGAGACAAGTGCGCTCACACTGCGACATAGCATGACCGAGTGGTTAACACGCGCGTCTCTCAAAAGAACGGAAGAGAGAGGTCGCGGGTTCGCCACCTCTCGGCGTCAATTCTTTTGCTTTTTGCTTCAAAAAGTTTTTTGCTGGAAAGCAAAAGCGAAGCTTCTGATCACACAATAATGCAAATTGAGTTGAATACAAATTCTGTGAAGATATCACCGATTTAATGCATGAAAAGCTTTTAAAATGGAAATTTTTGTGGGAATAAGTACTACTTTTTGTTTCAAAAACCTTACCAAACACTTCATAGACACAATTCAAATTCTCAACGTCGTCGGGATCATCTTTAACAATATTCTTTGCAAATCTTTTCTCGGGTAGCGTCTGATTTTGGGAAATCCTTGATATTTTCAAAGTTTCAGGCAATTTTGTCGAATTTTCACTGAATATCGATGAAATTAAGTAAAAAGTTAGGAAAAATAGAGAATATTTGAAAAGCATAAAAAGCAGAGCAGAGATATTTTGGGGGAAAGAACTGTAAATTTTACTTTATGACATTGCGTCTCTTTCTGAGTGAAAGAATTTCGGTGGGCATCGTAAATTCGAGTGAGAAGATAAAATGGAGCGCTTTCAAGCGCTTAAAGTGCTTGAAATGCGTTTTACACAACTTTCAAAACCAAGATCGATCGAGAGCTCAATGATTTTTCTGGCAAAAGTTTAAGAAATGAAAAAAAGAGCTAACTTTTGAATATTTATTAGTCTATTATATTCTATTATAAAGCCGTCATAGCCGACTGGCTTGGAGTCTTGTCTCCTAGTCGGCAGGTCAAAGGTTCGATCCCGGCGGCTGATCTTCGTGCTTCTTTTGCTCGTCGTCTTCTTCATCTCCATGTTGTTAAGGGAAGTCCACATTCAGCTGTCCGACACGCGAGATTATGGAGAGATATCCCTGAACAAGTCACCGTTTCCACGTAATTTCAAGATGCAAATTGATAAATGGGAATTTCAGCTACGATACAAATAGGTTCTTTTTCCCATCATTATGGATTTTTTTCTTAACAACATTTGGGTAATAGGGGTAACTAAGGGTAAAATGTTCCTCCTTTGTGTTGTACAGAATTGCTTCTTTTTCTCTACATTTTTGGTTCCTTTTCTCTTCTCTACGAATTTGATTCCTTTTCTCTGCTTGAGATCTGTTACAGATTGCGGTCCAGTACTGTAGGGTCCAGTATTGCCGGGTCCAGTACTGCAGGGTCCAGTACTGCAGGGTCCAGTATTGCAGGGTCCAGTACTGCAGGGTCCAGTACTGCAGGGTCCAGTACTGTAGGGTCCAGTATTGCAGGGTCCAGTACTGCAGGGTCCAGTACTGCAGGGTCCAGTACCAATTGATTATTCGTGTCGAATAAATATACTTTTCTATTCAGTACAATAGTGTGGCTTTTTTGTTTCTTTTTGAAACTTTTTAAAATCAAACTTTTATCGGAAACGAAATGGAAATGACGTGAGATCAAGTTTGGATAGTTTCTGTTTATGCAAAAAGGCAAACAATTCAAAAATTCAAGCAACGATCACTCAAAACCCGTATTGTAAATGTAAAGTCTTTTCGTTGAGATAGCCGAGTTGAATTTTGGTTGATCTTCTTCTTTAAAGTCGGCAAAATCATCGTAATATTTGTCCTGAGTTTGCACAGATTTTGTCTAAAATTATTAGTGAAACATTTCAATTTAAAGAAAGTGATAATTTCAAAGAGAAAGCTAGAGTTTTGTCTAGTTTTTTTCTTTGAAATTATCACTTGCTTTTCAGTGATCAACTCACCGTTATTTGTCGGAATGTTTGCGTGTATTTGTTCCTCATTTTTGCCCTTTCATCAAACTTCTCTTCAAGCATTTTTCGTCTAGAATTGTTCAAATAAATCTTATAATCATTGCTATCAAATAGCTTTGTATCAAAAACCAGCCAAACTAGCTGAATGTTTCACCCTAGTTTTGGCCAACGTGGTGCAATCGGGAGCGCGCAGTAGGGAGCGCGCAGTCGGGAGCGCGCAGTCGGGAGCGCGCAGTCGGGAGCGCGCAGTCGGGAGCGCGCAGTCGGGAGCGCGCAGTCGGGAGCGCGCAGTCGGGAGCGCGCAGTCGGGAGCGCGCAGTCGGGAGCGCGAGTCGGGAGCGCAGTCGGGAGCGCGCGTGGGAGCCCAGTGGGAGCGCGCAGTGGGAGCGCAGGGGAGCGCGCAGTAGGGAGCGCGCAGTAGGGAGCGCGCAGTAGGGAGCGCGCAGTAGGGAGCGCGCAGTAGGGAGCGCGCAGTAGGGAGCGCGCAGTAGGGAGCGCGCAGTCTGGAGCGCGCAGTCGGGAGCGCGCAGTCGGGAGGGCGCAGTCGGGAGGGCGCAGTCGGGAGCGCGCTTGTCTACGGTCCACATGACCTTCGACCCTCCGTAGTGCTATTCAATCTTGCTTTTTTTTTATTTTTATTTTAAATAGCGCAACTATATCATATTTTAAGGCTTTTTAAAAGATTTCAGCTTTTTGTGGTTCACAGACGGCTGAGAAAAAGCCCGTACAGACGGACAGACAGACACTGCTCTTTTATATATTTCGATTTAAAACTAAAGCAATAAAGTCTTTTCTTTCAACAGTGAATTACCATTTAACCGTGATTTGGCATTTAACGCCCAAATTGTGATTTTGTCTGAGCCATTGCATACCAAAAAACTCTTTAAAACACTCTAGAACGGCACAAAAACTTAGTGCCAGAAAAGTCACACGAATCTCGGTGACAATAAAGTCAAATTGTGCCAATAAAGTCATGTATTATAGATTCCTGTGATACTAGATTCCTTTTTGTCACGAAAATCCCTAGGAGAATAGAAGGCCGGAGCTGGAAGAATCAGGCGATAGCCTAGGAGCCACATGGTTCTAAGGTGTTGAGCCATAGTCTAGCCATAGCCTATAATATAATACTAGCTGCGCTGGGCGCCCGCACGAAGAAATTGTCCTATGGCATCCATCGAAATTATTCTAGTTTTAAATCTCCTACAAAATGATAGATTAACCATAAAAATCGGTGCACTGGGGGCTGGAATCTAGGCTCGGAGTACGCAATACTACTGTTTCCGTTGCCCGTAGAAAAAATCTGATCTCAATGGGGAACTCTGCGACCCCGAGAACCTATAAGGCTGTTGTTTTTGGAGTCTCTAGCTTCTCCCGTTCTCGAAATGAAAGTTGCGTACGGACGGACAGACGGACAGACGAACGGACAGACGGACAGACGAACGGACAGACGGACAGACAAACGGACAGACGGACAGACGAACGGACAGACGGACAGACGAACGGACAGACGGACAGACAAACGGACGAACGGACGGACGAACGGACGAACGGACGGACGAACGGACGAACGGACGAACGGACGGACGAACGGACGAACGGACGGACGAACGGACGAACGGACGGACGAACGGACGAACGGACGGACAGACAGCCCTCAATTATATATAGTAGATTTCTCAACATTTTCGTGTTGAATAAAGAGTTTTTAAGGTCAAAAATTGGTAAAGAATGCAATTTAACTTCATCCATAAGACGCTGGTTGGACCTTTTGGCTTTTTTTCTAAATCGGAGGTGCAAATTTTTTACGAACCAAACGCAATTTTAGTTCTAAATAGAATCTAACATATATAATGATATCAGGTAAAAATCACTTACTGATGATTGCTCATAAAACGCATCAACAACTTTTGTGTTCCCGGGAAATTCTTCGAGTACTCCTTGAGGACACCACCTTCTGAAATCGATTTGTAACATCCTATTTAGCATTTTGTAACAGCCAATTAATCGAATTTGAAAAAACATTGTAGATTTTGTACCTTCTGTTGTTGGCATTCCCTTGTTTGTGGGACTTTCCGCGTTCGTCTTCAACTCGTCACCGACTAAAAACAGGATTTGTTTCAACTTTTTTCAGCTGAATTGCACGACAATGTGAGTTATCGATCCAAAAAGGTCACATCGATCACTAGACTATAAACTACAAACGAAAACTACAAACGCTTCTAACTTGCTTCAAATCTGTCGGATTGAGATGATCTATAGCTCAAAAGATAGAGAATCTCAAGGGCTTTCGAATCGACTAAAGCACACCCAAAAAGAAAATTACAGCGCTTCGACTAGTGTCCATTTCGAGTCAGAACTACAAACCACTGTAACTTTTTTTCGCATTTATATTTTGGGTGTGCTTTAGTCGATTCGAAAGCCCTTGAGATTCTCTATCTTTTGAGCTATAGATCATCTCGATCCGACAGATTTGAAGCAAGTTAGAAGCGTTTGTAATGTGACAGTTCGTCATTTTTGTATTTTATACTCACTCACACACTATATTTGGCGTTTTTATGAACCAATTGAGCTGAAAATTTGTCTACTAGGGTTTTCGGGGGTGGGGAATCCGAATCCAGCATTAGTTTTTTTGTGTGGCTCCAAATTGAAACAATGGCTCCAAATTGAAAATAGGAGGCCATTTCGGCCATTTTGAGGAGTTTCCAAACTTCGACATTAAAGAAACTTTTTTCCTACTTGGTTTTGATGCTTTTTGTATCAAAAGATGTCCTGGAATATCCTCTAATGAAAAGAGATTTCAAAAATGTTGAAAACTAACAAAGTTATTAATTTCCTGATGAAAAAAATCGGTAATTTCGATAATTTTGCGCCGGGTTTATGCAAAAGATGAAAATTTTCATGTTTACGTAATCGTTCGGCTTCTGGCATACGGCTTTTAGATATAAGGGAAGAAAACGGAAATCATTTTCTTTTTCTTTCTTTTGGTTTAATTACCCCAAGTTTTTGATATGTGTTGTCGGAGTCTTGGACTTCAGAATTACTTCAGAATTTGAATGACTGAATGACTCAGAATGACTGAATGACTCAGAATGACTGAATGACTGAGAATGTCTCCAGAATTTAAAACTAACGATGGATTTGCATTCCCCATCACAGAAAACCCTTGGAAACAAATTTTACCTTTAGCTTTATTGATTCCAAGTGGTAGTTTGCAAAAAAAACCTTGAAAAAGCCGAATGTGTTAACGAAAAACACTTTGATGCACATAATAATTACGATTTCTATTTGATAAATCATTACTTTAATTTGAAACTTTAGATCTTGCAAACAATCAAATTAAAAAAAGCGTTTTGGTTAGTTTTAGTTAGATAAAAGATTGGCTTTTTATTTTGGCTTTAAAGTATTGGGTTGGTGAATTGAAAACTGCGGGATATTGTCATATGAGACAGTTTGAGCACTTTCTTCAAAAGAAACCCATTTTGGTGTCAATGGAAAAGTTGTAGAGAATCAAAAATCAAGCTTATATCCAAATTTTCAGAACGATTCAAAAACTGATTTTCAAGAAATGCCAAATTTACGAAACTTTCACAAAACTTGCATTTTAAGCGAAACTACTAAGTGTATCTTTTTGGAAATTTGGCTATAAGCCTAATTTTTGATTCTCTACAACTTTTCTATTGACATCAAAATGGGTTTCTTTTGAAGAAAGTGCTCAAACTGGGACACTGGGACATCTCCGGTCCTCGATTTTTGAGTCTCACACTTGTCTCACACACAAACCAAAATCCTACTACGAAAGAGGAATCCGCAAATTGCCTGTAAAATGGGCAGAAGTTGTCAATAATAATGGAAGTTGCTGGATAGCAAGACGACCCTTAATGCAATCAAATACAGTGAACAGTTGGGAAAGGTGAATGAATTCCTGAAGAAGAATAGGCCCTCCAAGTCAAAGATCGTTCTCATCCACGACAACGCGCGCCCTCATGTTACAAAACTGACTAGCTCTAAAATAAATAGCTTTGTTTGGGAACTTTTGGCGCATTCCCCATACAGTCCGGACCTCGCCCCTTTTGATTACTATTTATTCCGGATCATGAGTAATGAGCTTGCGGGAGAACACTTCGACTCGGAAGAAGCAGTAAAAAATTGGCTTTGAAAGTTTTTCGATTCAAAAACAAAATCCTACCACGAAAGAGAAATCCGCAAATTGCCTGTAAATGGGCAGAAGTCGTCAATAATAATGGGAATTGTTTGAAATGAATTTATGGTTTTATGTTGAATAAATTTTAGTTCAAAGTCCCGCAGTTTTCAATTCACCAACCCAATATTTTGAAAAAAAACACTCGAAAATTTTAGTTCACATAACAAGAAAAACTACCGGACGAAATACTTGAATGGTGCATGCGAATTTTATTGAACAAGCCTGGAAATAGGGAAAATTTCAGAGATTTCTTTATCTATTTGATTGAAAATGAATGCTGGTTTGAGCTTAAAGCTTTGAAATTTGTTATTGTACAAAGGAAATCGAAATTCACTTCAAAATTCATTCACTTCTCACTACTCACCTCCATCTTGTAGAGAATTCTTGAAATCAAGATCGATTGAGGCGACAATTTCGGCAAAAATCAATTCCAAATTCATCTGAAATTTGCTTTTTCGTAGCTTAGTAATTGGTTTACTTGAATAATATTGATTGTCATTGAAACAACTGATAATCCAATGAGAATGAATAGGAAATTGAATACAGCCACTTTATGCGATGCAGTGATGTCACCAAAGCCTGAATATTTAATGGAATCTATTAACAATGTTTTACTCACAATGTTTAGAAATCAAAATCAAACTCTACTATTTTTCATGTGAAAATTGTTCTAGAAAGTTCTAGAAAAACGATTTTAGAAAAGTTCCTAATGACAAAAATGTTCTTACATAAAAGATAAGTTCAAATTTGGAGTCAAATTTGAAACCAAAATCGCCTAGGACTAAAGTCTTTTAAATTTGAGTTACTAAGAGTTATAAATAACGACTTTTAAAGGTATTTTTATTCAGTCCATCTGAAGATCGACGCAAAAAAAGGTTTTTTTCGGGTTATTTCTGATCACTCTGTACTGTAAACTGACCAATTGTTGTCATTGAAATGAAAAAGAAATAAATCGACTCAAAGAATGTCCATTTCTCCCATAAACAGAACACTCCACAACAGAGAAGAACCCAGAAAATAAGCACGATCAACTGAAAATGAAAGCTTTTGTTGCTTAAACGACTGTAAGATTCTATCTCTTGTCTCACTGCCGAAATTACTTGTTATCCAGCATACTGTAGAGTACAGTATGCTCGATAATCAGTAATTTCGATCAAGTGAAATTTGCTGATTATTGGAAGGACAGTGGGGGTCATTGAAAAGCAACTAATCTATCAACAAGTGTCTTAGAATAGACAAGGTGCGTCAAAATGATGGACCCAGATAAATCAGTCGGTACTAACCGTAAAACAAGTCACTCAAAGATAACAAAGTTTTTCTAACAATCTTTATTTATATGTTAACAAGTGTACAAGAAGCCATGCTTCAAGAAGTGCGCGGAAAGCGTCAACTGTGGCACGCAAGTAGGCAACATCAAGCTCGTCCCATGCTTTAATGAGTCGACTTTTCGATGTGGTTTAGCACACGCTTTAGCTTCGAAGATTGACCAGACTAAAAAATCTAGCGGATTAAGATTCGACGAGCTTGGAGGTCACTCGTTAAATGAAATGAAATAGGCTCTGCTCACACCAATCCTGGATGATTCGAGACTTGTGAGCCGGTGCTCCATCTTGCTGAAATACCCAGCTACGTTGTGCAAAATGAGACTATGCCCAGGGCAAAAAGTTTTGTCGCAAAATGTCCAACAGTCGACCTTGACTCCTGATGGCACGAAGACAAGAAAAGTCTTTCCATCGGCCGTGTTCCCTGACCAAGCCCATGACTAAAACTGGATGAAGAACGCACCCGATCGATTTGTGTGGGTTGGAAATGGCATAAATTCGGTCATTCTGCTTGCTTAGCACTTGTTCAACGCTGAATAATTTTTCTTCTGAGAACAAAATCTCACGACAGCCGCGTTGGTTGAATCGCCTGAGAAGGCCCTCATATCGCCCTTTTCTTCTCTTTTTGGCAGCCTCGGTGAGCCAGTGGGAAATTTCTTCTTTTTGAGAGCTTTCATCTTGAGTTCACGCCGCACAATTCGACGTAAGGAAGGCTCAGAAATTCTTATTTAGCGTGACATGAGCCGGACTGATCGTTCCGGGTTACGACGTAACCTTTCTCACACTTTTTTTGATGTTGGACTGAATCACTACAGAACGCCGTTTTCCTCGACCAACCAGCATTTCCTCTATCAGCATTTTTTCCCAATTCCTTGAAGCCTTTAATCATCTTGTTCACGAGCCACGTAGAAACTCCGAAATTTTGTCGATGTCGTCAATCGAATTCGATCATCGATGCAACGCTATGATCGAGTTTTGATAAACACTCGGCTTGATGAACTCTAAAAAAACACTATATAATCTTAGAAACTATATCAAAATAACAAGGGTAAACATGAAAAAAGCAAAAAATATAAAATAGCAGCATAAATGCTCTCAGATAAAGCTGAAATCCTCAGGCCCATAATTATACCACACCCTGTAGATCTGGGGATTTTCAGTGTGAGCATCACTAGGCGTTCAACGGAAAAATGCCATAGCTTGACCAGTTTCACTTCAATCTTTTTGATTTTAATATCAATTGACGCAGAATTTCGATTAAAATCGATTGAAATCGATTGAAACTATCAATTTCTATCAAAGACAAAAGATTAGAGTGAAATTGGCCAAGATATGGCATCTTTTCGTTAGACACCTATTGACGTTGACACCGAAAATTCCCAGGTTTACTGGTCTAGAGATAACCAGGTCTAGAGATAACCAGGCCTAGAGATAACCAGGCCTAGAGATAACCAGGCCTAGAGATAACCAGGCCTAGAGATAACCAGGTCTAGAGATAACCAGGCCTAGAGATAACCCTGACTAACCACAAGAAACAATGGAATGGGTTCTTTTTCAGGATCAGATTCTTCTTTCTCATTTTGTTCTTTCAATTGTTTATCGAAAATTTCCTCGTTTTCTTCTAGCAAATCCTAAAATGAAAAATTAAAGATTTTCGGCTTTTTTTCTATACCAAATCCGATTTATAGCCACTCTTGCAGCATTTGTTTCCGAGAAATTCGGTGATTTTTGTGTAGTACTTTTTGGTGTGACGAGTCCAGAACCCTGAAAATTGAAATTGAAATTGAAATTTGATCACTTTTTTTGATTTAAATCAATACCGACTCAAATTCTTTGTTGACTTACATTGAACAGCATTGAATAACAATGTTCCCCAATCATTGAGAATTGTGATCACTAATGGAATACCGATCACTGCATAAATCATTGTAAAGATTCGACCCCATTGAGTTTTCGCTGTCAAATCTCCATAACCTGAAGTGCATCGGAAAGAGTTTGTTTTTTTGCGTTTTGCCGCCACAAATTACAATTTTCAAATGAAAACTTGAATTATTGGGTTGATGAATTGGGAATTGGCTTGGGTTTCATTTCATAAAGAGATTTTTAATGTAAATAGAATTATTTGCATGTAAAGCTTTGTTTGAATAAGATTTCATTTTCCCTTACTCATTAGATTTCCAAGCTCAATTTATTGGGTTGGTGAATTGAAAACTGCAGGCTATTGTCATATGTGACAGTTTGAGCACTTTCTTCAAAAGAAACCCATTTTGGTGTCAATGGAAAAGTTGTAGAGAATCAAAAATCAAGCTTATATCCAAATTTTCAGAACGATTCAAAAACTGATTTTCAAGAAATGCCAAATTTACGAAACTTTCACAAAATTTGCATTTTAAGCGAAACTACTAAGTGTATCTTTTTGGAAATTTGGCTATAAGCCTAATTTTTGATTCTCTACAACTTTTCTATTGACACTAAAATGGGTTTCTTTTGAAGAAAGTGCTCAAACTGGGACACTGGGACATCTCCAGTCCTCCATTTTTGAGTCTCACACTTGTCTCACACACAAACCAAAATCCTACTACGAAAGAGGAATCCGCAAATGTGGAAAAAATAAAAAATTTAATTTTTTTTTTTTTTTTTTTTTTTTTTTTTTTTTTTTTTTTTTTTTTTTTCCCACCCCTTTTTTCTTTCCCCCACCCCCTTCACTTAATTTTTTCCATTTTTTTTCCCCATTTCCCCCCAAACCCCTTTTTTTTTGGGGGGATTTTTTTTTTTTTTTTTTTTTTTTTTTCCCCCCCCTCCCCTTTCTTTTTTTTTTTTTTTTTTTTTTTTTTTTTTTTTTTATATAATTTTTTAATTTTTTAAAAATTTTTTTTTTTTTTTTAAAAAAAAAAATTTTTACCGCAAATTGCCTGTAAAATGGGCAGAAGTCGTCAATAATAATGGAAATTATTTGGAATGAATTCATGAGTTTATGTTCAATAAATTTTAGTTCAAAGTCCGGCAGTTTTCAATTCACCAACCCAATACAAATGAAAACTTGAATTAGAAAACGTTTTTTGATTGAAAGAACAAACCAATAGTTGTGTAGATTGTTCCCGCATAGTAGAGACCACCCCAAATCGTCCATTTCTTTTGAGTGAACCTGAAATATTGGAAAAATGAGTGATTTCCCGGCGCAAACCCACAAATCCTTCTTTAAACCCATTTCGCGATCATATCGATCCAAAGCTATTCGCAAATTTGTCTCATAAAAGTCACTCGAGTTTCGATTATTGAAGTAGAGATGCTGAAATTTGATATCAAGAATCGCTCTGCAACTTTCAAGAGTTGAAATGTGAAACCACCTGTATTTTTTCGACTAAATTCCTCTTTGCCGCAACACTTCTCCGTATCAATTCGGCATTTTTCATTTCTAACAAAATCTCTTCTTGAGAACCTAAACTTTATTGAAATGAATAAAAGTTTGACCGGAAAGTCGAGGAAAGAGTTTATTGTTCTGTGATTCATTTTTTTGCCCCCACCAACAAATAATCTGCAAATTGATCTTTAACATCTTACTTCATTGCATTTTAGCATCTTTTATCCTACCAGATTGGCCGGAAAGTCTTGTCCGCTTTTTTAAAGATAACTTAAGATAAATAATGAACCAATTGATCTATGATTTATTTTATCAGAAAGTTCGATGATTTATTGACAAATTGACCTTTAAGAAATTCTGAAAAGCTCGCGTTATTTAATCTACTATAGATAAAAAATAAAACGTCCGTCTGTCTGTCCGTCACGCCTACGCCTCAATACAAATTACGTTAACGTAAAATTACAACGAGATGAGCTAGAAAGCTCAAAATGTGTACTCGGGGGTTTTCGAGGGTGAGGAATCCGAATCTGCAATCAGATTTGTGCTACGTCCCCCTTGGTACCGCTAGGTAGAAGCAGCCGCGAAGCAGATGCTCAGCGCAGCTGGGTTTTTTTAAAGATTTGGGAGTTGAGCAGTCAAAAACGATGAAACTCAAAGAAACCTATTTTGATGTTAAAAGATAAAAGATAGAGAATGAAAAGTGAGGCAGATAGACAAATTTTCATAACATTTCATCAAGTGGTTTTCATTCTATATTCATTGTAAGAATTTTAGGAAAAACAAGAATCCTCATCCGGATTTGCTTCAAATTTGACTCAAATTTGCCTAAAAATGAGCTAAATGTAATCGTTAATCTTTTTTATTTAAAGAAAACTACACAATTGATCGGCTAAACCAACAAATTTGACAGCTCTTCTTCAAAAAAATCCCCTTTTTCCTTACATTTCTCGGGAGTGGGACAAATGCGACCTTTTTTTTGCGCACCTGGACATTGGCGCATCCGGACATTTGCGCACCTTTTTTTCCGCACTTAGCCCATTAGCGCACCTTTTTTCGCGTTTTAAAAAAGCTCTAAAAGCTAATATTAACCAATTTCTATTCCAAAAGTTGTTTTTCTAGGTAATTTGAGGGCGTAGAATCGAAATTTTGGCATATCAGAGCTTGTGGAAGCGAACGGACGGAGTTATACAAAGAGAAAAATCAACAATTTTCTGTAATTTGACCTAGCCGTTTTGTCTTTCAAATTGATTCCACAAGCTCTGATATGCCAAAATTTCGATTCTACGCCCTCAAATTACCTAGAAAAACAACTTTTGGAATAGAAATTGGTAATATTAACTTTTTAGAGCTTTTTTAAAACACGAAAAAAGGTGCGCTAATGGGCAAGGTGCGCAAATGTCCGGGTGCGCAAAAAAAGGTCGCATTTGTCCCACTCCCCATTTCTCACCTTCAATCCATAAAAACATGTATCCGCCAAATAAACTGTAGGCTAATAAAAGAAAAAAATATAAATAATGATGAATGTTGTATTTCTCATAGTTGACAGTCACCAAATTCCAGAACATCTGAAAAAAAAGATGATGAAAGATAAAGAATCGCATCGCAAAGTGAAACAAATCAATAATTTCTTCAAAAATTTCTGAAAAGGTCTAGATTTGTAATTAAACATTAAAATATAAAGTAAAGTTACAAGCTATGGTTCCGCATTAGCTTTAGATTTTAAATATTAACAGCTTGAACTAGGCAATCTGTCATTTTCTCGGCTTTTAGATTACTTTTTTGAAACTTACATATCTTTGCATTGAGAGTCCGTAACGGGGAATCATTTTTGAACAACAAAAGTTAAGACAATTGCATTGAAAAGTGTTATTCTCAAAGGAGTATATTGCTAACGGGAAATAACTTTTTACCGGGTTAAGGAGAACCTCTTTGAAAATAGCTCTCAAATTACAAAGTCTCGCAAAAAACGGGAAAAGCCGGAAAGAATTCACATAAAACGTTCCCAAGACTCATAAAGTTATTGAGAATTTATTTTTGGCCGAAAACAATTGTGCTCGTTTAGAGCTGAAAAAGTAATCGGAATCGAAATCGAAAGTAATCTATCGAATCAATGAATTGTAATTGCTTTTTTTTCAAACTTGAATTCAAATTCAAACAATCAAACTTTAAAAAACTCATCCAGAAACAGAAAAGCTGAAAAAAGGAAAAATGCCTGGCTCATTTTGATCACTTTCCTTTTTATGTTAGAGACAATCACTCAGTGCACCTTCTCTTTGAGCTTTTCATTCTTTTTTTCCTCGTGAAATCTTGCTGTAACAAGGGCCCCTTTTCTTTTCTGAGTGGTCAATTAATTGCTTTTTCGCTTCATTTTTTTTCATCGCTTAACCTCTGAGAACAGTTGTTTCACTCTCGCGATTTTTGAGTGAATTTTGGAAAAATGAGATTTTAGTCTGGAAGAGTTGTCAAAAGAAACTGAACTAGCATATGTAATATGGAAATTGTGTCATTCTAATGCATCAACACTTCGGATATTGATGGTTGTTAGACACATTACACTTTTCTTTGCAATCTGTACTGATGGTTGTTAGAAAAACGTGTAAGCCTACTTTTTCTGCTACTTTTTCTCTAGGTAAATCTAGGTTTCTTCTTTAGGTCTCTTCTCTAGGTCTCTCCGAAAAGTAAAGAAACAGATACTGAACGGCTCAAAACATGAATAGATTGACAGATTGAAAAAGAAAGAGAAAAGAAAAATGATTGTTGGCTTTGAGGAGTGACTTTTCTGCTCTTCTCAACTTTCTCCGAGCTTCAAAACAACCACATAAGAGATCGATTGGGAAAAGGGGAAACGAAAACAAAAGCTTCAACTGCCTGGCTGGGTTATGGGTGATAATTATCTTGACTAATGCAAAAAAAAAATTTGCAACTGAATTGGTGAAGGGGAACACTTTTAAATTACAAGTGAAAAATTAGCATGCAAGTCTTACATGTGATCCTTCATTATCATTTGAAAATTTGCGTTTAACCGTTAAATAAAAGAAGACAACAAGCCCGCCAAAATCATTTTCTTTTCTATTCGTTTTCCTTCACAACTTGTCTCGTCTACAAATGGGTTCCAGGAAAGCGACGCGCCAGCAGAGGTTTATTTTTTAAATTTTAAATTTTCATTCTGTTTTTTAATGTTTTCGGGAGTGGGACAAATTCGACCTTTTTTTTGCTGGAAAAGGCCTTAGGCAAGGCCGTAGAGCTTCGAAAATATTTCCACATAAGGGAATCGTATGCGTAGATTCCGAATTTCGACAAATCAGAACTCGCTGACAAGTCAAATTTGGGGTAAAAGGCAAAAACTGCGGAAAAGCGTTAAGTTGCGTAGTTTTTGCCTTTTAGCCCAAATTTGACGTGTCAGCGAGGTCTGATTTGTCGAAATTCGGAATCTACGCATACGATTCCCTTCTATGAAAACATTTTTGAAGCTCTACGACCTTTCCTAAGGCTTTTTCCAGCAAAAAAAAGTGCACAAATGTCCAGGTGCGCAAGAAAAAGGTCGCATTTGTCCCACCCCCTTATTTTTTAAATTTTGCCGCAGAAGTTTATTTTTTAAATTTTAAATTTTCATTCTGTTTTTTAATGTTTTCTCTAACTATAAGTTGTATGCTTTTCTGATTTAAAACAAAAAATTGTTGCTTTGACATAAAGTTTATTTTTTAGCGACGAGAAGATCACGGCAATCACCCCGTACAACACATTAAATGGTGACTTCCCGATCTCCAATCGACAATCCGCTAGCAACAAAAATGTGAGTTTTCAAGTTTTGCATACTTTGTTTATATTAAACTGTCCAGAAATTCTTTTCGTTACTTTTCATAATTTCTTTTGAAAATTAAGAAATTCACCAATTAGTCTATGGTTTGCTCGAAATAAAAGTGTTTGTTGTTTAAGTTCCCATCTTTATAAGTCAATTTCGGATCACTTTCAAGTAAATTCGAGCGTGAAAACACGCGTTTTTCGTAAAAATCTAGGTCTAAATCCGTTTATTGTATTAGGCTGTCCAGAAAGTCTTTTCGTACTTCCGTTTAAAACAAACAAATGCACAAATTGAACTACGGTTTGTTTCATTAGAAAGGCCAATTATTTTTCTTCAAAATAACATTAAAACGGATTTAAAATGTCTTATGTCTGTATTTTTTTTGGTGGGCGTGAAGTCGGGTAAGTCAAGAAGGGCGACGACTCGATGATGCGGTTTAGGCACTTTAGCTAATAAAACCTATCTTCGTGTCAATAGATAAAAGATAGAGCACAAAAAGTTAAATGTATAGCTAAATTTTCAGAGAAATTGATTTAGCCAATTTCTTCGTAGAGGTTTTTATAGATTTTTATGAAAAACACGTTTTTTCACTCTCGAATTTACTTGAAAGTGATCCGAAATTGACTTAAAAGATAGGAAATTGACCAGTAAACACTTTTTATTTAGAGCGACCCATAGATTAATTGGTGAATATGTTATTTTTCAAAAGGAAGTATGAAAAGGAACGAAAAGAGTTTCTGGACAGCCTAATAGATTCTAGATTTCTAACTTATATTCGAACTAATATATTCTAACTTTAGCGCCCGGTTGATTCGTCGAAGTCGACACGCTCTGTTTGTCTCAATATGTGCTGCTCGCAGGGAATTGGATGCGCCGTAAGTTTTCTACATCACCATTCTTGGTCATGGTTATTTTTTTCTGCTAGTTGTCGGTCAATCATCGTTCACCGTCTCGCCACTCAAGCTTAAGTTCGTCTCACAAATCACGGGTTCCACAATCCACTCAATGGCAAGAGGCTACCTCAAGAACTGGTTAGTTTTGCTTTGGATTGATCTCATAATCTTTTTTGTTTCCAGAATCCCTCAATCCAGCCAACAATGCGGTGAGAGATTCAATGAATCAATACGAGAATCTCAGTGCCTTTCTGAAAAGTAAGTTTACGTTTTTGCAGGTTTAATCTGTTTTCTTGTATCTTCAGCAACTCGCAAGAGTTATCCGAAACAGTCATCAAATCGTCCTAGACGTCTTCCACGTTCAGCTGAACACTCCTCTCTTCACTTTCCATTCGACCAACACAGTCCGGCAAGCCAAATCTACAAGGGCGTGATGAATTGGCGAGAAGCTGAAGATCGGACACTTCATCCTACCGAGTTCATCTTGTACCATCGGGTAAGTTTAATGATGATTTCAAACGGTCACTTTCTTCAATATTGCAGATTTTTACTAAAGTCTTGTTTAAGATTCCGGAGCCATTGACGGTGGCTACATTGAAGACGGATCTTGAGCTCTATGTCTGCTATCACAACTACATTGGAGTGTTTAGGTTAGATTTTAGCCTAATTTTGTTTTTCCTTGTTCATTTTCGTTGAATCTTGCATTTTAGGCATTTCCGCGTTCGCAAGCACACCACGGGTCCGGCAATTCTTTTTTACTTTGATTGTGGAAACCCGAGTGCTCGATCTTTCCTGACGCTTGATCAACTCGTCCAGTACTATCATGTTTGTTTATTTTATATTTAGCAGGTAGTAAACTTGATTAATGAAGTTTTTGTGTTAATTTATTACGTTTCATTTTAGTTTTGTTAACGTTTGTTAACGCTTGTTTGTTAACTAAAAAGAAACGTTAACGTTTGTTAACGCTTGTTTTGTTAATGTTACATTTTTAGACCTACGTGAAGATTCGAGTCAGCAAGAATGCTAGTCAGACGAACGTTGATGTGTTCGATTGATGGATGGAGAAATGAAGCCACAAATAAAAGACATAAAAAACATTTAAACGGATTTGGGTGATAAATCGTTTTAAGGTTTTTGTGGTTTTTTACGCTTTCGATCTATTCTCGAGAAATTGTTAGGGTTTTGAAGGTTTACTATCGGTGAGTCAAAATGATTTTTCTATCGTATTAATGTTTTCCTCAAACCAACTCAACTATATTTCTGTTTTGTTGATCTTTTTTTTCCAATCCTTTCAACTAATCAATGGCAGTCTGAAAATTGCAAAAAGTACCAAAATGGAAGATTTTACTGATGCGGCGATTCTCGAGAAGGGTGATTTGTGGATCGGCGAGAGTTTTTCAAGATCTTTCCACCCTTTTCTTGGTTTCCTTTTTCTCCTTTTTCCAGGGATTCTCCAGAGCACAAATCCAAGGTCATCGTGATGAAATGAACGGGTGAATGGATCTCCCCAACCACTCTATCTCTGTATTTATGGCCTATTTGAAAATGAAACGCAATTAGTGAGAAGATAGAGTAGTATTACTATTAATCTCAAGATTTCTCTCGTGGCTTGGAATGTGATTTCCGATTTGATAGGTGAAAATTGTGGAATGAATCTTTTCCAAAATAAAATCTGCAATCAAGCAGAGCAACGCTAGTTTTACTGTAGTTGGTGGCTTCTCTTTCTTCCTTCCTCTTCCCACTTCTATTTCCTCTTTCTTCTCTGACAAGAAGATACTGAATAGCTCAGTGGTTAGAGCATCTGCCCGTACAGCAAAATCTCGATAGCCAAGTCTAGTGTCAATCCAAACTCTTACAACACTTTAGATTAGAGTGTGTTCCACGCGAGTAAGTAATTACTCGAGTAAAATTTGCATGAGTAATCTTTACTCGATTAATCGGCGTTTTTGATCGAGTAACTACGAGTGATCCTCTTTACACGTCGAGTAAATTGAATACCGGGATAGGCTCCGCAATTTTTTTTGCGCAACAGGGTCATTTGCGCAACTGGGTCGTTTGCGCAACTCGCCATAACTTTCTTCTAAGTGGGCCAATCTTTATCATTTTGGTGTCATTTTGTTGCACTTATTGAGATCTATAAAATGAAACCAAAATCATAAAGATTGGTCCACTGAGAAGAAAGTTATGGCAAGTTGCACAAACGACCCAGTTGAGCAAATGACCCTGTTGCGCAAAAAAAATTGCCGAAACTAGCCTACCCCTGAATACCTTCACATTTGAAGGGAATTTGCCACCAAATCAGTTGAACGGTTGAATATCTTTATCTTTAAAAGGAGTCGTATATAAGGCGGCGCTCGTGATTTTTGCGCCATTTTTTTTGCAATAATTTTCGCTAAAAGTACGGTAATTTTTCCCAAGTGTGTGTTTTAAAAAAAACGTATTACTTTGCGAGGAACACACTCTACTTTAGATTTAGAAGACCTAACGCAAAAAAACCCGCACAAAACAAAAAACCTTAATCTTCCTAAACTCATTGCAGATTTACTTTTGAGTCCAGACATCTAAATGGAAGTTTTTCAAGTTGTCATTGAAAATTTGCTCGTTTCTCCCTTTTTAGATGAAAAACTCTACAAATTAGCCGCCAAACGATGGCCGGCGCCAAAAAAAGTTTGACCGAAAAAAAAACGGAGAAAATTCAACAACCGCAATGAACGGACACACTTTTCCAAAAAATTTCCCCCCATCGTCCACTTGAATCTTTTTTTTCTCATTCATTGCTCTTTAGAGAAATTGCTCGCCTTTTTCTCGTGTCGATGGTCAAAACGTTTTTGAAAGTTGAAATTTTCATAGGGAAACTTTGGTCTTACTATTAGTTGAAAGTTGAAATAAATCTTATAAAGTAAGATCTTTAAAGAGATCTTTAAAGAGATCTTTTAAAGTGATTAAAGAGATCTTTTAAAGTGATTAAAGAGATCTTTTAAAGTCATTAAAGAGATCTTTTAAAGTCATTAAAGATCAGAGGATCTCAATTTTTCTATCTAGATAGATTAAAACCTTTTAAATAAAGCATATCTAGATAAGAAAATGAAAATCTTTAATTTCATTGATATAAATCATTCTTTTTAATAAAAAGAATGATTTAGATCAATGAAAGAGCACATCAAAATCACAAATATCTGAATTTGGAATCTAGATTTGAAGGATCAATCATCAAAAATTGTTTTCCCCTTTTTTGACTTTTGAAATCCCATATTGCGTATCGATGAGAAGTATTTCTGACTAAAGAGTAAAGGAAGTAAGGCAATGAAAGAATGAGAAGCAATAAGAGGGCCCCACACATTTCAGAAGAGAGGATTTCCATTTTTCTCGCCTTTATCCACATCTCAAGAAGAAACCTTTCAAGAAAGCGACTCAAAAAAAGGCAAATCTTTAGCCCATTTTGTGGTCTTTCTCTTTTTCCCCCTTTTCCTTTTTTCCATTTTCTCTATATTCTATTTTCTTTCGATAGCCAAAGAAAGCCTCTCCCAAACACACACCAATTTTGGGGAGACTTCCACCCAGCTTCCCATTGAGACACTCCTTCCCTTTTTTTGCTTTTCTTTTCATTTTTCTCTTTCGATTTTTTGTTATCTTTCGTTGACTTTAATATTTTATTTGTTATCTTTCATTTAATCATTTAATTAATCTTATCTTTCATTAATCTTAACTTTCATTGGGCTTTATACGTGCATGCATAAGAAATGCGGATTTCAACATTTTCATAAATTTCCAACGATAGAAACCTGATGTTATAAACTAGAATCGATGAATGTTATAAACTATTTGAATGTTACTATTTGAAAGTTGTAAATCTCCTCTACAAAATAGGCTAAAACGTGTTTCAATTGATCGAAGCATTGAAGAAATTTCGAGAGTGAAATGCGAGTGACCAAAAAAGGAATTGAGTCACTTTAGGGACAAGTTTAGTGTGGTCAAAAAGAGTTAGCCTGCCAAAATTGAAGATTTAAAAAAAGAAAGGATAACTATATATTAGGTACGGAAAAAATTAATGTCGTATTTCTTCACTAAAGTTCCAACGTTCATAAAATTTTTATTTCAAAAGCAATTTAATCAAAGTAAAAACCAGTAGAATCTATACATGATTGCCAACGTTTGGCTAACTTTTCAATTCCTAAAGTGTAGAACGCGGACCCGATTGAATCGATAAACTCCTGGATGCCATTTTCGACCTCCCCTTGAGTAGCAAAGCATTTCTCCGATAAGAAGTGATCGAAGAACTTGAAAAAGTGGAAATCTGTAGGCGACAAATCAGGAGAATATGGAGCATGAGGGATGACTTCAATGTGCAGCTCGTTCAATTTTTGAAGAGTCTTTAGTGAACAATGCGGGCGGGCGTTGTGTTGCAATAGGATAGGACTCTTCCAATTCACTAGAGTTGGATCGATCCTTCGAATTTTTTGCATACATTTCGTTTATTTCGTAAAAATACTGATCAGTATTCATCGTTTTTCCGTTTGGTAGAATTGAATAATGGATCAGACCTTTCTGCGACGACCAAACACTGAGAAGAAACTTCTTTGGGTGTAGATTGGGCTTCGGAAAGTTCGATAGTTATTCTTTATCTAGCCATTCGGTTTTGCGTTTTCGGTTATCGTAGAGGACCCATTTTTCATCACAAGTTACAATTCGATTCAGAAATGGCTTCTTTTGGTTACGAAACAGCAATGAATACGATGTGAGGTAACGGTGCAATTTTTGATATTCGTTCAACTGATGAGGCATCCAATTTTTCAACTTTTTTTACTTTTGGGATTTCCTTGAGATGGTTCGCAATTGTGTGTGGAGTGACTCCAAAGTGCGTTACTAATTCTGCCTCCGCTGTTCTGGGATCCGCTTCTAGCAGCTCCTTTAATTCGTCATTGTCGAGACTATCATGGCGTCCTCGGCCTTCCTTGTCATTAAGATCCTCGTCGCCTTCCCGTAATCGTTTGAACCAGCGCTGAACTGCTCGAACTTTAGCTTTGTTTTCCCCAAAAACTTGATTGATTTTTGGGTCGCTTCTGACGCATTGTGGCTAAGCTTGAACTCATACAAAAAGAGAAGGCGAAAGTCTCGATTTTCCATCGATGTAAAACAACCTGAAAAAAACCATTAAGGAAGGTCTAAGCAAAAGTGTTAAACAGAAAAGAAAATTGAGAAAAAAATACTCAAATACATAAAAAGACCCAAGGTCAATAAGCATTTGCAGCCGCGTAGGCAACGCCAGAAAGTGAGACCCACAAATACGACATTAATTTTTTTCCGTACCTAATATTAATTCATTAAAAAAAAGTCTAACATTCATCGATATCAGGTTTCTATCGTTAGAAATTTATGAAAATGTTGAAATCCGCATTTCTTATGCATTTCTTACGCATTTCTTATGTTTTTTGATCATAATAAGATCAAAAAACACTTCTAATTACGCTACAACAATCCAAAAGTACAATAAAACTTCCCAAAAATTTCTATGAAACAAAAAAATCGATTCATTTCCAAATATTTCAATGAGTAAATTTGAGATTTCATTTCAAAATGAAAATTGAAATTTACCTCTTGATCGTTTTCTTTGATTAACACTTCTTTAGGGTAACTAAATTTGATATTTTCGTTTTTAAGAACTCATTAAAACTCACTTGTTTGCTATTTTGAATACAGACGATTTGGTGAAATCGTTTTTGTTAGTGATCTGAATTTAGTGGAATATTAAAACTCCACTCAATCACTCACAATTTGAAGATGAGCGTAAAGTTTTGCAACATTTGTTTTCTCATCCTAAACTGGATCGTATGCATCGTATTAAACCTTCAAAAGCATATTTCACACAGTATACTTTATTCTTTTTCCATCACTTTCAACATGTTCCAAATCTTTTCCCCTCTCTCATTCCGTCTTTTCCTAAAAAGGTGATCAAATAGAAAATTTGACGACTTTGAAAAGTATCTCTGCAACATAAAACATCTCCTTTTTCCCCTTTTTTTGAATAAAACTGATTTTTCAAACAAAAACTTGC